CCTCCACAAAGACATCCCAGTGTTTCTTATTCTCTCCACTGGTGTGGAATTTGCATGATGCCACCCATTGCCTCTCCCTTAACCCTTTCCTTTTATTTTCAAAATTCATCTTGGTTTATAGGAATCATTGTTCACCTACATCCAGAGAGCACTGTGAACACAAACAATGATGGATCTACACCAAATTTGGCACGCATACCCGATATGCCAATATTTGAATATTGGTGGGTTTGGAGTTGCATTGGCCATCACATTTGTTAGTTGTAGGTACTATAATTTATAGTTCACCTTCAGTCAATGAGCACTCTGGACTCCACCAAAGATGGAATGGAACCAAACTTGGCTCACCTGGATTTGGACCAAACTTGGTACACATACCTGATATGCCCAAATTTGATTACTGTCCAGAGGAGGGTGATGAAAATGATAAAGGGTCTGGAGAACAAGCTCTATGAGGAGCGGCTTAAGGAGTTGGGCATGTTTTAGCCTGAAGAAGAGAAGGCTGAGAGGAGATATGATAGCCATGTATAAATATGTGAGAGGAAGCCACAGGGAGGAGGGAGCAAGCTTGTTTTCTGCTTCCCTGGAGACTAGGATGCGAAACAATGGCTTCAAACTACAAGAAAGGAGATTCCATCTGAACATGAAGAACTTCCTGACTGCGAGAGCCGTTCAGCAGTGGAACTCTCTGCCCCAGAGTGTGGTGGAGGCTCCTTCTTTGGAAGCTTTTAAACAGAGGCTGGATGGCCATCTGTCAGGGGTGATTTGAATGCAATATTCCTGCTTCTTGGCAGGGGGTTGGACTGGATGGCCCATGAGGTCTCTTCCAACTCTTTGATTCTATGATTCTATACTGAAGAGGTTTGGGGGGGAACTGACCTTCCTTTCGGGGAGTTGTGGTTCATCCACACCCAGAGAAACTGTGACCTCCACCGATGATGGACTGGGACCACACTTGGCACACAGAACCTTCATGACTAACTCTACCTAATGGAGGGGTTTGAGGATAGTGACTCACCATAGTGGAAGTTGTAATTTATCCTACAGGCAGAGAGCACACTGAACCCCACTGATGGGGCATCTGGAGCAAACTTGCCCAACATGACAAACTTTTAAGTACTAATGGAGTTTTTTTAGATTAACCTGGCATGATGTGAGTTGTAGTTCACCCACAACATTATGCATTTTGTACTATTAAAAAACTGACTTTTTCAAATAACCCGGGCAATGCCGGGTACTCAAGCTAGTAGTATAAATAAAAACAAATAATATTCGGGTAGTTTTATACTGTATCAGTGTAAAGATGAGACTTTTGAATTTTTTTGAAATCATAATATTGTGCATACGCACAGGACTTTGCAACAAATGTAACTTGAGTTCAATGTAATTTTTAGAATGTTTTGTAAATGTTTAAAGCAGTGTTTCTCAAACTGCTCCTCCAAGTGTTTTGGACTTCAGTTCCCAGAAATCCCAGCCAGTTTACCAGCTGTTAGGAATTATGGGAGCTGAAGTTCAAAACATCTGGAGGAGCACAGTTTGTTTTAAAGGATTCTTAATGCCCTTATACATTTTTGTATAGGTGGAAGTTATTTCTCATTTTGAAGATGGGAACAGAGGCTGGTAAGTCCATATTGGAAGTCCCTAGCTAATTGTATAAGCTGAACCTTCACTCAGGGAGTATTGAATGCTCCTCATAGGGATTCGTGGTTTCCAGACCTTTGATAATTTCAGTTGCCCTCCTCTGGGCACCTTCCATTTGTCAATATCTCTTTTGAACTGTGATGCCCAGAATTGGATATCAGGTGAGGTATAACCAAAGCAGAATAGAGTGGCACCATGACTTCCCTTGATCAAGATGCTATACTCCTTTTGATGCAGCCCAAAATCCCATTGGCTTTTTTAGCTGCTGCATCACACTGTTGCCTCATGTTTAACTTGTTGTCCACGAAGACACCAAGATCTTTCTCACATTGTCCAGCCAGGCATCACCCATATATATATATAGTCACCATATATATATAGTCACCTTGAGTCACCGATTGGCTGAGAAAGGCAATATACAAATACAGTGTGTGTGTGTGTGTGTATACTGTATATACTGTATATACTGTGTGTGTGTGTGTGTATAGACTGTATATACTCTGCGTGTGTGTGTTTGTGTGTATATATATATATATATATATACACACACACACACTGTATTTGTATATCGCCTTTCTCAGCCAATCGTTGACTCAAGGCGGTTTCCAACAAATCCGTACATATAAAAACATAGTACAGATTAAAACATTAAACAATATAAAACACCACAAAAAGCAATAAAAACATCATTAGCATCACATTATTATCAGTTCCATTGTCAAATCGTTTGATTTCCTATATTAGCTACTCTGCATTTGTAAACACTTGCTCGAACAGCCATGTTTTAACTTGCCTCTGAAATCTTAAGAGGGAGGGAGCAGATCTAATCTCTCTAGGAGGGTGTTCCATAGCAGAGGGGCCAACACTGAGAAGGCCCTGTCTCTTGTCCCTGTCAAGCGTACTTGAGACGAAGGTGGGACCGAGAGCAGGGCCTCCCCAGACGATCTTAGAGTCCGTGATGGTTCGTAAGGGGAGACACGTTCGGACAGGTAAGTTGGGCCAGAACCCTTTAGGGCTTTATAGGCCAAAGCCAACACTTTGAATTGGGTCCGGTAGCAAACCAGCAGCCAGTGGAGCTGGCACAACAAGAGGGTTGTATGCTCCCTGTTAGCAACCTGGCTGCCATTCATTGGACTAGTTGAAGCTTCCGGACCATCTTCAAAGGCAACCCCACGTAGCGAACGTTGCAGTAGTCTACACGGGATGTAACCAGAGCATGGACTACTATGGCCAAGTCAGACTTCCCAAGGTATGGGCGCAGCTGGCGCACAAGTTTTAACTGTGCAAATGCTCCCCTGGTCACTGCCGAAACCTGAGGTTCCAGGCTCAGCGATGAATCCAGGATCACTCCCAAGCTGCGAACCTGTATCTTCAGGGGGAGTGTAACCCCATCCAACACAGGCTGTAACCCGATGCCCTGTTTGGCCTTGCAACCGACCAGAAGGACCTTTGTCTTATCTGGATTCAATTTCAATTTGTTCGCCCTCATCCAGACCGTCACAGCGGCCAAGCTCGGGTTCAGGACCTGGACTGCCTCCTTGGTATTATATCTTAGTATCATATTGTATCTTTGCATTTCATTTTTTTTCCTGGCTAAGTGTAGCATCTTACATTGGTCCTTCTTAAAATTCATTTTGTTAGTTTTGGCCAATCAGCTTTCTAATCTATTGTCGAAGGCTTTCATGGCCGGAATCACTGGGTTGTTGTAGGTTTTTTTCAGGCTATATGGCCATGTTCTAGAGGCATTTCTCCTGACGTTTTCACCTGCATCTATGGCAAGCATCCTCAGAGGTAGTGAGGTCTGTTGGAAGTAGGAAAATGGGTTTATATATCTGTGGAATGACCAGGGTGGGACAAAGGACTTTGTCTGCTGGAGCTAGGTGTGAATGTTTCAGCTGACCACCTTGATTAGCATTTAATGGCTTGGAAGTGCCTGGGTGGAATCTGTGGACAAGTCTACATAGGGACCACCAAACGCAGCATTGCCCAACATGAATCAAGGAACATGAAAGGCACTGCAGACTACTTCAACCAGAGAAGTCAGCCATAGCAGAGCACCTGATGAACCAACCTGGACACAGCATATTATTTGAGAACACAGAAATGCTGGACCACTCTCACAACCACCATGTCAGACTACACAGAGAAGCCACTGAAATCCACAAGCATGTGGACAATTTCAACAGAAAGGAAGAAACCATGAAAATGAACAAAATCTGGCTACCAGTATTAAAAACCAAAATATTTCCCAAAAGGCAAAAGCCCCCTTTCCAATAGGGAGGGCAAGGATGGACACCACAAAAGCTGAATCTTTTAAACTGCAAAAAACTATTTATTATTGCGTGGCCATAGCAATCATGACAAACAAGCATACAGGGATGCAATCAAAGGGTTTGTCGCAACCCCCAATGGGGCTGCAGAGCATTTATAGTAAATGGAATATACATTTTCATTGGTTCCCAAAGACAAATCATTTCATTGGTCTAAGTTAGTTATGCAGTTGTTCATTTGTTGTTTATGATTTTGATTGGCATTATAGCACATGCGGGATCCTGACAATGGCACAGCTTTACCATAACTATGGTCCATTGTTCTCTGACCATGACTGTATCTTATCTGTTAGTCTGTTGCAAACATGGCTTCAGAGCGACTGGGAAACTTGGGGGTTCTAACTAGCCAACAGCTAGCTGGTTTTGTCTGGATATGTTGTTATCCTTGAATAGTAACTTCTTCTTTGGAGCACTGATTTCTCAAACAATCAGCATTTTCTGTGAACATAGGCCTACTGCAGAAATAGGCCAATATGGCAGTAAATCATGACATATGGGCATTGGGGAAATATCTGAAAATTCCCTTTCTAAAACCACGTCTCCTCCACCAGTATTAAAAAAACTCAAAAATTACAACAGCAAAACAACAGAGAGTAAACAATCAGGCACATCAAATCACCTCTCAACAAAAGATTCCCCCAGGCACTTCCAAGCCATTAAATGCTAATCAAGGTGGTCAGTTGAAACATTCACACCTAGCTCCAGCAGACAAAAGTCCTTTGTCCCACCCTGGTCCTTCCACAGATATATAAACCCATTTTCCTACTTCCAACAGACTTCACTACCTCTGAGGATGCTTGCCATAGATGCAGGCGAAACGTCAGGAGAAAATGCCTCTAGACCGTGGCCATATAGCCCTAACAAACCTACAAGAACCCAGCTTTCTAATCTGTTCAGGTGGTTTGGAATTCCGATCCATGATTCTCTCTCTAGAGCAAGCCTGGTCAAACTTGGGCCCTCCAGGTGTTTTGGACTCCAGCTCCCACAATTCCTAACAGCCTTCTGCAGCGTTGATGCACCCCGGGCCAGGCTGAGAAAAGGGAGGTTGGAGGGCGGGCCTTTCCTCCTGGAAACGCTCGCTGGCCTCGGACTGAGCGTTCACCTCCACCCCAAGGCGTTTCTGCCTCCCTCAGGCCTGCTATTGCGGAGCAGGCCGCGCCCGCTGCCATGGCAACGGCGCGCGGCGTGTGTTGTTGCGGGCTTCTCTGCTGCCGCCTCAGCGAGGCCTGGGCGCCCAAACCGGAGCCATGGCTTCCCCGACCCTCCGGCCTCTGGCCGCGCCGAGCCTCCTGCTCCCCTCCGTCGGGGAGAAAAGAAGGCCGCTCTCCCCTTCCCCGGGCCTCGAGGAGACTTGGGAGGGCGAACTGGGCGGCTTCGAACAGGTGAGGTCCTACTTCTTCAGCTCCAAGGGCCAACTTGGGCCTTCCTCCAGGTGTTTTGGACTTCAACTCCCACAATTCCTAACAGCCTTCTTTCTCCCTCTCAGCCCCTGGGTAAAAGGGGGCAGAGGCTGTTGGAAATAGTGGGAGTTGAAGTCCAAAACACCTGGAGGAAGGCCCAAGTTGGCTACAATGTTCTTTGGGCTTTATTATTAGGGAAAGTCTTGTTCGGTTGAGATTTGGAGAAGGCTTCAGGGATCCTTCCTTTCCACAAATATTTACTTATTTTGGGAATTTCTATGCCGCCTTTCTCTACATGGACTCAAGGCGGCTCACAACATCATTAAAATAAGCAATGTAACAGAAACCATTAATTAAAACAAACGTAAAACCGTAAACAGTTACAAGGATGCGTCATTCATAAACTTTTGGAAAATGCCTTTGAGAGATGAGCCAAAAACCCTTTAGAGTTGAATCTTCTCTTGTATGCTATCAGATATAGTTACGCAAGGCAATGGTTTTAGTTGTTAGACTGAATAACCTGTTATCGCTGATCTGTTAGGAAAACAGAGATTTGCCAGTGCACAATAATGATTTTTTTTTATCGTGTCAGGAGCGACTTGAGAAACTGCAAGTCGCTTCTGGTGTGAGAGAATTGGCCGTCTGCAAGGATGTTGCCCAGGGGACGCCTGGATGATTTGATGTTTTTATCATCCTTGTGGGAGGCTTCTCTCATGTCCCCGCATGAGGAGCTGGAGCTGATAGAGGGAGCTCATCTGCCTCTCCCCGGATTCGAACCTGCGACCTGTTGGTCTTCAGTCCTGCCAGCACAGGGCTTTAACGCACTGTGCCACCGGGGGCTCCTACAATAATGATAATGATAATAATAATAACTTCTGAATTCAGACTGACAAGAGTTTTGGAGCACAATACTCCTGACCTCACAGTCGTGTTAAAAAACAAAACATGGATCGTTGATGTTGCAATCCCAGGTGACAGCAGGATTGAAGAGAGACTACTGGAAAAGCTGACACGATACGAGGATTTAAAGATTGACCTGCAAAGACTCTGGCACAAGCCAGTCAAGGTGGTCCCAGTGGTGATTGGCACACTGGGTGCAGTGACTAAAGACCTTGGCCTGAACTTAAATTATTATTATTATTTAAAACTTTTATATTCCAATCTTCTCAAACTCTGCAGAGGGACTCAGACCGGCTTACAGCAAGGATTCAATGCTAACAGTAAAATCTAAAAACGTATAATGAGTTTAAATACACATTGATTAAAATTACAAATAAGCCAAATCGCCAAGATAAAATCACGTCCAACTCAGTCCGTATGTGTGGTCGGTAACTTTGTTCTGTAGCTGGTTTCAACCATTACTCTGGGAATGCTTCCTTCCATAGCCAGGATTCACCAGCTTCCTGAAGGACAGGAATACAATCAGCGCTGACAAAATTACCATCTGCCAGCTGCAATAGGCCACCCTACTGGGATCTGCATTATTTCCTGATACATCACACAGTCCTAGACACTTGGAAAGGGTCCGATGTGTGATCCAATACAACAGCTAGAAGAGTGTCTGCTGTGGACTCATCTTGTTGTGTTTCAAATAATAATAATAATAATAATAATAATAATACACTAGGTGAAGTGCCAAAAGATCTCAGCCAGCATTTGGAAACCATAAACATTGACAAAATCATGATTTGTCAACTTCAAAAGGCCACCTTACTTGGATCTGCACGCGTCATTTGAAAATACATTTGAAAATACAGTCCTAGACACTTGGGAAGTGTTCGACTTGTGATTTTGTGATACGAAATCCGGCATATAGATCTTGCTTGCTGTGACATACTGTGTTTTTGTGTCAGTAAAATAATAATAATAAATGTATTGTCGAAGGCTTTAATAAACTTTATTTATAACCCGCCCTATCTCCCCAGGGGGACTCAGGGTGGCTTCCAAACAGAATTGGCAAACATTCAATGCTATGATAAAACAAAGCAAAAATCAAGCCAAATAAGTGAAACAACATCAATGACTTATAATAACTAACCCAAAAAAGTAAATAAATAGATATATCACAACAAACACATTTACAACATAATAAAATCTGGACAACTAAAATGCATTAAAATATATTTTCTGTTCGTCATGGGAGTTCTGTGTGCCATATTTGGTTCAATTCCATCATTGGTGGAGTTCAGAATGCTCTTTGATTGTAGGTGAACTATACATCCCAGTAACAACAACTCGCATATGTCAAGGTCTATTTTCCCTCAAGAGCGCCCCTGGGCAAAATCAACTATACTGCAAATGCTTACTTTGCGTAATGGGTTGAGCCACCCTTGTGTGTTCAGCATACATAGGTACAAAACTTATCAGTCCAGTTTCAGATATGTTTGAGATAATTACCTGTGCCATCCAACCAGGACATGTCTGTTTTGATAGCAAAACAGCTATCAACATAGTCAAAAGGAGAGAGAGAGCATGTGGTCCTCAGCCCCTTTTCTAACTTCTTGAGAACTGTAGAGTAAAGGAAGCTGCATACCAGAACATATATACAAACAGTAAGCAACGGGATCATAGATAAACATTACTACAGAAAGCTTGAAGAAGGTTGTCATTTCCAACACTCCATCGCATCATTCATCTTCTAGGTAATTAAAAATCAATTAAATTGAAATACTTCTAAAATTCCCATATATCCATAAAATCCAATCAATTAAAAGCTTTTCTGAACCAGAAAGTCTTCACTCATTTTCTAAAGGACATCAGGGAGGGAGCTGATATGATTTCTTCTGGCAACTCATTCCAAAGCTTCGGTGCTGCTCCCGAAAAAGTGCCTTCTCTAGAGATTTTTAACTGTAGGTTATTCCTGGACTGAGTGGAGATGAGAGTCTCCTTACTATATCTAAGTAGTCTGCCTGATCTGTATCGTAGGACCTGGTGTCTCAAGTAGCCTGGACCAAAACCATGTAGGGCTTTATAGGTTAAAACCAGCACCTTGAATTTGGTCTGGAAACGAATCTGCATCCAGTGGAGCTGTGTCAACAGAGGGGTGATATGCTTCCTGAAGCTGGCTCCACAAAGAAGCTTGGCTACCATTCTCTGAACAAATTGAAATTTCCAGACACTTTTCAAGAGCAGTCCCACATAAAGCACATTACAGTAGTCCAAATGGGACGTAATCAGTTCATGTACCATCGAGGCCAAATCAGATTTCTCCAGGAACAAACTCAGCTAGCGCACAAGTTTTAATTGTACAAAGGCAGTCCTGGTCACCGCTGTCACCTGAACTTGAGTTTAAAACATACGATAACAATGGTGGTGGTGTATGTTATATTTTAATATGTTTTTGTTTCCTATCTGGACTCATAAAAAGAGGAATGGAATTGCTTGTTTGAGCTCAGGCAGAGTTTTGGAGAAGGCTCCACAATTTCTTCCGTTCTACAAATAACTTGAATTTTGGGGGTATGTTGTATTAATATGCTGTCGTTTCCCACCTGGATCCATAGATAGAGGTGAGCAGAAAATACAACGTTATTGTCATCAGCATAATTCCTGGATTTAATAGGGAACAACCTGTTTGAATGAGCTCAGGTAGATTTTTGAAGAAGCCCCCAAGGTTCCTGCCTTTCCACAAATGCCATAACATGAATTTTAAGCATATAATGCTTCACAGAATACATCACATAAACCAGCTAAAATATCAGTTTGGAAGAACATATACAATTCATACCTATTAAAATAATCGATACACAACTTCATATTCATAATTCATAACAATGGTTATTAGAACATTAATGGAGATGGTGCTTTTACAAAAGTATCTTGGTGTCATCCAGGAGATAAGAGAAAAAGGAGAAGGAAATGGTAATGGGTAAACAGAGGAACAACATGTATTTGTAGTTTTACATGGCCTGTCCCTTTCTCTTGCCAAAGAGTGCTTACCAGGAAGTAAGTAAAATGTGTGCTCTTTTTCAGAAGTAGTGGGCAGGAGGACTTAAAATGGGACTTTGTTATCTACTCAGAATTATGAACGGCTTAAAAATATTGATTAGTGAATCTTTTTAGGGAAATCGTGTGAAATCTGTGGACCTTAATCATGTTATCAAACTGCTTGAAGAACCAGAATCAGTAAGTATGACTAAAGCAGTACGATTTTTATGTAAGTTAACTTTGATTTCTATTTATTTTGAAAGAATGTAGAAGCTGGAGTCTTATAATGTAGGATTTTCATAGCCTAATCCCATAAATTTCAAGTGAGGTTTACATGTCATGGGTGTGGAATTACAATCTAAAAGAACTTGATGCACTGCTCAACAAAATACCCCATTGGTCTGAACCATGGATCACATCCTCAAATTATTTGGGGTGGGAGGGTTACTGGTGAAATACAATAATTTGGCTGCTAAACCTGAGGAAGACAGTAGCTGTAAAGACCATTGATAGTGAACTTCTGAGTTCATGAGCAGAATATTATTTAACGTGTGTGGATAGCCCAGTCCTAAGAAGCCACCTCAGATTTTCTGTGCAACAGCATTTTACGTACTGCAATACTAGTGTACAATCCAGTGTTAACTACCTTGCTTGCCATAGAAAAGTGGCTGAAACGGTTTGAAACTTTCTACTTGGCATGCAGAATAGGTGTAATGGGCACTTGGATGTTTTGTCTCTTTCTCTTAAAAAGCACTTTTAAAAACCAAAGTCTCAAAGAATGTTCATACAAACCATTTAGTGTTCTGGTCTCATTCTGTGTTTTCTCTTTTGAAGAGTACTACAGAAGAACAGCTCCAAGTGCTAGAGAAGGTTGCAAAACGTTATCGATATGGGATTGTATCCTTTTTGTGCATTTTAGAATCAACAAAAGTGGAAGACATAGGAATGAAAATGATTTTTTATGGTTTGCTTCATGTTAATGGGACTAGTATTAAGAGAAAACTGACTTCTTGAAGTCCATTTTATGCAGCAAGTGAATATTTGCTTTTTATTCAGTTATTGATTTTATTGACTGTTACAGTTCCTGTATCTTTAGCAACAGACTATCCTAAAAATCTGAATAAATAGCTATTTGCTACAGTCACTGGCAAGATAGAAGATAATTGTAGCCCACTTACATTAATGCAATATTTGTTTTTAAAGAAATCACATGCCTGTATATAGTGTTGCAATATAGGTGATTTATGACATGTGTCCATCATACAGTGGGTTATGGTTGGGTTAAAAAAACCAGACGATTATAATGATGAGTCTACATATAAAGTTGTTTCAAACCAATTTATCATCACTTGCAGTTGCACCAGCATATATGTCAGAGTAAATGTTGGAGGATATTGCAAAAATTGTTAGAATCCTTTTGATGATTTGGGGCAACATAACTCCCGTTTATTACCATATGTGAATTTTGAGGACAATGTAGCCTTCTTGACTTTTTATCTAATTTTATAACAAAAATTTTAAGGCATGAATAATCTTTTTTCTTTTAACTTGTCATTATACATAAATTCCTCTTAACCTCACAATTTTCCTTGATTCTTAATAATTGCAAGCTTCTTAACGATATAGCACAAATTTCTAAAATTTTAAACTTATGTGCAGAAAGAAGTCACATAGACATAGTTTTTATTGAACCTACATGTGAAATTCTTAAATTATATGGGTAAGTATTATATAGAATAGAAGCAAGTAGTTAAAGTTAATTCAGTTAACTGATTTAATTGTAAGCGAAACAGATTTGGATCCTTTTTATCTCCCTTCTTGCCTGTATTGCTTACCTGCCTTTTTCAGCTGCCTGAATCCATTTTGTTCCTTCTTATACTGAGTTTTACAAGAAACTTAGGCAAATAGAAAGCCCAATATGAAAATACAAAAAAAAATTGGAACAGCGAGTCCTTTCCTCTCGTCCTTTTCACACACCTATTTGTTTTATATAACAGTAAAGAGAAGAATGTTGTTTGAAATGTCTAACTTATAAATGCAAACAGCTGTTAACTTGGGCGGTAGGTGCTGCCTTTATACAGTGTTTTTAAATCTGTAATATTTTGTTTAGCCAAATAAATGAGTGAAATGAGATATTCCATATCCTGGGAAGGCAGGAAACAAATGACTGAAATTCCTCTCAACCTTCATCTGAAACCAAGCTTTGTATCTGAGCAATCTGTGCCTTCATTATTCGTACTAGAGGCAGTTTGTATTGAAAAATTGAGAGAGGATAGTTAAAACATTATATTTCTAGGTAAGGATCTCTTCTGGTTCAAACAGTGGCTAGCCCCCCTCCCTCCCAGACTTTGGACATTGTAAATTAGTAGGACACACCACCAGTACGGTGGTAAAGATTTTCTGCAGTAATAAACAAAGCAGATAAGAAGAAGTTAAAATACAATGTGTGCACATTTTCCAACAGAGATATTAAATTAGGCTTTCCTTCCCACCTCTTCCCTCTTTCTCAGAAATCAAAGATTAAACTGCAGGATAAGCTTCTTGAACGCATTTTTATTTAAAATGTTCATGTTATGCCAGGTGGCACAGTGGGTTAAACTGCTGAGCTGCTGAATTTGTTGACCGAAGATCAGTGGTTAGAATCCATGGAGCAGGATAAGTTCCCGCTGTTAGCCCCAGCTTGTGCCAACCTAGCAGTTCGAAAACATGCAAGTTTTCAGTAGGTACAGCTCCAGCGGGAAGGTAACGGCGCTCCATGCAATCATGCCAGCCACATGACCTTGGATGCAACTATGGACAGTGCCAGTTCTTCAACTCAGAAATGGAGATGAGCACCACTCCCCAGAGTCGGACATTAGACTTAATGTCAAGGGGAAACCTTTGCCTTTACTTATGCTAGTTAACGTATACTCAACTCTGCCTGGGAGTTCTGATAGCATTAAAGTGAATTCCTAGTACTCATTATAACACTGTATACTAACTCTCATTTTCACACACCTGTAAGTAAAGTTTTCTTCTTAGGGAGTACCTTAAATTGTCTTAGATTCATGAAAGGGAAGGATTCATTGGAACCAAGAGGGAACATCCCTCTTTCTTTTTCAGCTCCCTATGTAGCCACTAAATCTATTGTGGGGTGAGGAGATAATAGTTTTAAAACCCTCCAGACAAAAATAGACATACAAAATAAGAGTTAGTGATGAGGGTATAGAGAGAAATAGAGAGAGAAGAGAGAAAGAGTGAAGGAGTGCAAATCGGAAAGAAAGATGCCCCCCCTACCCCCCACCCCCCGGTGCATGAACTTCCCAAAGTCTTCAAAGAGTCATTTGCTGTTTGGTGTCGGTATCGTCCATTCTTCTGTTACATTTCCGGCTTTTGCTTCGGAATGGTAGTCTCCTTCAAATGCTGGCTATATCTATAATCATTGTCATCTTTCTTACTTTGATGAAGTCTTTGACCCCTCCCCCCCTCCCCCCAGTTAGTCTTTTTTGGTGAGTTATTTAGCCGTTGGGACAGACAGTCCATTTGGATTATGTCGAATGTTTTTATGATCCAATCTTCGACTGTCGGGGTTTCCTTCTGTTTCCACATTTTGGCCAGCATGTACTTATTAGAAAGAACAATTTTTCTTGATTTTTGTCAAATTTGGGGTAAGATATGCCCAATATATACATTTCCGGAAGTTGTGGGAAGTTTGTTTTTAGAATTTTTTGGGTTGATAAATGTATTTCGCTCCAATATTTCCTGATTTTTTTACAACTCCACCATTGATGGTAGAAAGTCCCTATCTCTTTTCGGCACTTCCAGCATTTATTTGATGCGATTTTACTGAATTTAGCAATTTTGACTGGGGAATAGTACCACCTAAAAAACATTTTGTACCAGTTTTCTTTTAGGTCATTGGCCGCTGTATATTTTAATTTGGTATTCTCTCAAAACAATGGGAGGAAAAATCATGAAGTTTTATTATGACTGTCAGTAGACTGTTGGTTTTAGCCCAATAACATTAACAAAATTTAGTTTTGTTTTCCCATATTCTTTAAAATTATTTGTAATAACTACTTCTTAAAATGTTGTAGGTTACCTTTTTCCAAGAAGAAGTTATCTGATGAAGTAACCTATGCCAAAGAAGTTCAAGAAGCAATATCACAACTGGGTAACTTTAAACTGTGCATGTATATGGACACCAGGCATATTTTTGGTTGCCATAAAAGCCATGATTCACTGTAGACCTAGTAAATTATTCCAAATTCAAGAATTACTACAATTTATTATGTTTTTATAATCTTAATTTACAAAATTTACTAGGGCACAGAATAACAGTCTGGTTTCTGTCTTTATTTTTGTGCTTTTGAATCAGATCCTGTTCTTCCATATCCAGTGCTGCTTTTCTAGATTTTCATTTTGTGTAGGAGAGCTAGAAAAATTGTGTGCAAATGTTTTGAGTCATATACTGTTGGAGCATCATTTACAAAACAATTTAGCATTTCCAAGTCTTGAGGCCAAGCTGCTTACAATAAAAACCCGAGAAGATCTACAATAAAATCCCGAGAAAGTATGATTATATAGAGAATGTAACCTGCGCATAATATCAATCTTAAAGCTGTATTTGTCTATTTTATCAGGTTGTCTGATGAGAGTGCCTTGTTCTCAAGTAAGGATACAGATCTGTAAAAGTATTATTAACTTTTACCATGCGGAGCCACCAAAGAAAGAATTTCAAGGTAATATTTATAAATATGCACAGAGAGATTGAGAGAGGGAAACAGCACAGATGCTTAATTAAATGTGTGGTGGTCAATTTACCACAGACCCACTTAGCCTGAAGACTGTATTTCTTTTGTGAAGGAGCAACCATAAGGCCTCAAGCCAGAGGTCATGCTGGGAATTGTAGCCTAAAAACTAACTTTTACAAGCTCTGATCTTCTGTGCTTAGTGGACAGCCTGCTGAAATATATGAAATAGGCCACCTCCTATTGTTGTATCCTATCAGATCATTGCTGATGTATTTTGACCTGCTTTAAGGTTTTCTTGGCAAGATTTGTTTTGAGGGGCTTTGCATTTGCCTTCCTCTAAGGCTGAAAGAGTGTGACTTGCAGTAGATTTCCACACCTGAGAAGAATTTAAAGAGAAATTGGCTGTGCTAGGACTGCCTTACACGACTACTTTACATTTACAACATTTTAAATCTTGCCCTGTACACATGGAGCTCAGCTGGTGAGTTTTGCAGGGTGGTATACAATAAATTGGGCTCAAAACATTTTAATTAGAATGACTTAAAGGGCATAAAAGCCTTTACGGCACCAAATCCCATCCGATCTTGGAAGTGAATCAGGGTCAGCCCTGGTTTGTACTTGAATGGGAGACCATCAATGCGTGCCACATGCTGTAGGCTATAGTTCAGAGAAGGAAACTGACAAAACCACCTCTGAATATTCTTTGCCTCAACAATCAGCTTGAAGGCAGATACACACAAAGGCATATTATACTATTTAACACTTTAAATATCTATATTCATTATGGTGGAGTTTGGAGCAGAGAGGTATCCGTACTCATAATTCACCTTGAGCATTCTGCTTACACTTCCCTTCCCTTCATTTCTACTTTGTCGTATAGATTATTATTATTATAATATTTATTTATATCCCACTTTATCTCCCCCAAAGGGAACTCAAAGCAGCTTAACATAAAAGCATTAGCACACAATTTAAAATATACAAATATACAAACAGCATTAAATATAAACAGTATTAAAACATTCACAGTTAAAAACCATTCAGATATATTCAATGCATATTCAAAGTTAAAACCAGATTGATTACTTCCAGATTACAAACCTTATTTAAAGAATTATCTCAAACCACAATTTGTTAAGTGAATGACAAAATATAGTTTGATCAAAACAGCAAGTAATCCTTTAGGAATTTTGCTTGCGCATAGGAAGGAAGATAGGGAGAGGCGGGAGCATGTTGTTTACTTTCTGAATGAGCTTGTAATGTTTTTATGTATCCAGTTTTCAAAAATAAAAATAGTAATGTTTTTCTGCAACTGTTTCTGTACATCAGTGTGCTCTCTCTCTCTATATATATATGATAATATTATATTTTGTAACATTTCTTTCCATTCTTGTTTATGTAGTTTACCAACCTGTAAGTGCAAACTATAAAAAACATATGGTGGAATTAGGAGGCTTAGCAGAAACTTTGGTCTTGTCACTCACGTTAGTTGAAAATCAACTTACTGAGAAATTATGGATAATTAAAACTCTGCAGCATCTTTCCATTTCTGGTTGGTATAATTTATATTTTTAAATACAGTGGTTTTGAATCCTTCTTTGTTTTGCATCCATTTCCATAAAATAGAAATAGAGGTCATTGTTGATCCTTTTGTGTTCCAGAAACAAACTGCCAGCTTATGATGAAAGCTCAAGCACCAATAAGGTTGTGTTCTCATCTGAACGATGTTGATCCCACTGGGCAGCTGTTATTCCGTTCCTCCGAAATCCTCTGGAATTTATTGGAAAATACATCAAGGAATGAAATTATTGATCAGCTTAATAACTTGGAATGTGTACAGTTAAGTGAACTTACATAGTATACAAGCTAGTGTTTTAATTGCTAGTTCATTCACTATAATGTATCAGTATTTTTAAACTTCATTTTTATTAACATGTAATTATTATTTTTTCATTTGATTTGCTTTATTGTCAAATGTTTTGTTATGTTTATTTTGAATAGTATTAGTCTATTGTTGTATTTTATGGCATTGAATATTTGTCTTTTATGTTGTGAACTGCCCTGAGTCCCCATGGGGAGATAGGGCAGGATAGAAAGAAAGTTTTACTTACTTACTTCATAAAAAGCCAGAAAGAAATTTGATACTGATTAAATATTTGAAAGTTCTCATAACGAATAGTGTTTACTACAATATTAGTGTTTTAAAATTATTAAATGAAAAATTATGTTTTCATGTTTCTGTTTCAAAGCTTAGGTAATTTGCCAAATGGTTATTAACTCAGTTTCAGAGTGCATTAGTCAAATTTATTTGTCTTTTGATGGCTATATACTATAATAACAAAAAAACCCCTTCAAGTTGAACGATAGTGTGCTTCTACATCTAAAGGATCAGAGCTTGAATATTAAGAACTAGAAAAGTTTATTGCCCCCATGTCTTCTTTGAGGTCTGCCTAAATGCATCTGGCTGGACAACGTGCCAAATAAGATAAGGCTTAATGGGCCTGGTCTGTTCACATACCTGTTGTCAGCAGTCTGTTTTGTCGATAGTTTGAAATCTTAATAAAATATATCTAGTCATGCAACAAAATATAATAACATTCAAAATCCACAAAACAGCAGTGCATTTATTGGACCAATAAAAATGCATAAAATACATTATACATGGTTTCAGAGCGCCTCTTGCCAGACCTACGTTTTGTCAATATGTTGTCTTTTGTTGTCAGTTATGGCAATCTGGAAGGATACTATGCTCGCAGTGGCCATTCCTTTCTTTAACTATGGGAGCTCTGAAAGACAAAATGTTGTAAAACCCAGGGGATAAAATTTAAAGTCCAGTAGCAGCAAGCTGTTTAATACTTACATTAAAAATGTAGTTCACATAGTTCAGAAATGACAACATATAGGACCATTTTTGTCATTATTGCCAATGGTGTTGTAGAAGCTAGGGCAAAAAAGCTACTTTCCCCTTCTATTTCTACTTTAAATCAAGGTGTGCAGAAAATGAGGATCTTTTTAAAATCATATTTATGCCTCACAAAGCCTCCGAGAAACATGAATCTAGTTTAAACCTTTGGGAAAATGTCACAGCACCTCCCCCCACAGGTTTTAGTGAGGAAACAATCCCTTTAAATTGCTCAGTCTGAAAATATTGAAGGAAAATAATTTCAAATGTCCATGAACATTATGTTACATATTTGACAAGATCATATAATAAAAATAAGTTGTTTTTTTTAAACAGAGCTCTGAAAGAAGCATTTACACACTTACTTTTACATAGTTCCCGCCATTATGATCGTCAACTAAGAAATGACATTTTGGTGATAGCCACCCTTGTAGCTCAGAACTCAGGAACACCAATGATTGTATGTATATATGATTTTGAATTTTATAAGCCCATTTATTGCTGGTTTTTAAAATTTAAATGTTTAAAGATGTTTTCATGCATTCACTTAGTGTTAGCATATCCATTGTAAATGCAGATTTTCTGCCGAAATATTTATGTTTGATTTCAGTGTCTTGGAAATAAACTCTATTTTTCCAGTTATGTACTATAGAAAAATGTTTATAACACAGGACAGTAGGTTAAAATTGCACTTAGAAAATCCTAAAATTGATATGTTCATGGTCAGTAGAGTATTGCAGAATTAACTCCTCTTTGGCGGGTAGATAACACTGAGGTTGAATCAACATTGCTGTATAATCCATTTTCCAAACCCGCCCTTAGTCCCCTTCGGGGAGAGAAGGACAGGGTATAAATATAGGAAATAAAATTATCTGCTTTGAACTGAATTACATGAGTCTACATGGAGCCCCCAGTGGCGCAGCAGGTTAAACTGCTGAGCTGCTAAACTTGCTGACCAAAAGTTCAGCAGTTTGAATCCAGGGAGTGGGGTGAGCTCCTGCTGTTAGGCCCAGCTTCTGCCAACCTAGCAGTTCAAGAACATGCCAATGTGAGTAGATAAATAGGAACTGCTCTGGCGGGAAGGTAATGGCACTCCATGCAGTCCTGCTGGCCACATGACCTAGGCAGTGTCTATGGAGAACGCTGGCTCTTCAGCTTAGAAATGGAGATTAGCACCACCACCCAGAGTCGGACAGGACTAGACTTAATGTCAAGAGGAAGCCTTTACCTTTACTACATGAGTCTACACTGTCATATAAGGACATCCAAACTCACCTATGCAGTATGAATCATTGCTGTATCATGCAATTTTCTCTAAAATTGCTAACTTTGCCTGAGGGATTAGGACTGTGTCTACATGGATCAAATAAAATGAAGTCAGATGGAAACTGCTGTGAAGATTCCAAACGATGTTTTAACTAGTTTCATCTACCTAAACATGCATTGACTCATTCTGCCAGAGTTCCTGGTATGAATTCAGCAACCTTTCAGAAAATATATAGCATTCACATAAGATAATTTTGCCACTTTAAACAAGAACAAGAGATGAATTAGACAAGTTTGCCTTGGATAATGCAGCATGTCCTCTCACCTTTGAGACGTTATCCTTCCATGATTAATCATGGGTATAGTCCATTCCTGGATGGAACTTTTCTGCAGACTAAGAATGAACACTGTTCACCTATCATGATTGTTCATTTCTGTCTGCAGAGCAGACGACACTATTTGTTATTTCGGTATTCCACTCTGCTGATGTTTGGAGATCCTTTGGGACCATTCTTACCATGCTTCAGTCAGAGTTTGGTTGCTTCATTATTTCCAAGCCCCTTAGGGATTTCTCTTTCATTTGTATCACACTTAATCTTTGCTTTTCTTTTTTAATTGGTCTCTTTTCTGTAAGGTGCTTAAGGAACCAATTATCAAGAGTTCTGCGTGTTCCAGGAAAAGGAAGTTATATCACAATTTTAGGAGAGGGGTTATTCCCCATATTTTAATCTCAGAAGATTTTAAGGCCTTTCTTCTGGCATAACTCAACAAGAGTTAACTACTCTCACATACCTTAAAACCAAAGCAAAATGCAGAAGCCCATTATGGTACTATTAATTAAAACAAAATGTAAGCCAAAATACTATTTTCTATGATCTAACAGTACATATTATTTTATAGGAAACTGGATTTGCCAAGCAATTAATACTGTTTGCCACCTTTACTGAAGGTAAATGATTTAGTATTTTTAGCACTTGTTACTGCATATTATCAATGTAGAATCAGGATTATTTGTTTGTAAGACAACATTTTCTTTTTTCCATAGTTAAAAGTCATAATCCCTTGGTAAAAGGCCTCAAGATTACTTCCTCTTACGAAGATTTTGAGTTGAAGAAACTGCTGCTTAACATGCTTACTGTTCTAGCAAACGATTTATGTTCTGTGCAGGTAGGACATAACAGAATAAGTAGGGAGGTTTAATAATACATCACTTCTAATCCATGTTTACAAATGCATTTATACAGAACTGTATAAAGAGTTCATTATCATACATGCAATGATTTACTCCATTGTCCTGAGGACCCTGGAGGGTTGAGAGGCAAAGACAAAATTCCATAATAAATAAACAAGAGCATTGTTTGAAATAAACAAATGCAATCAAAACCACTATTAAATAAATAAATTAGCATATAGATTGATTAAAATATACATTGATTAAAATACGATGTAAGTCTTGGCTATATTTGGCAGATCGCCTATTTGTATAGAATGAGTTCTAAGAAAATTACTAAGATGTTTGCTGCTGTCTTCCTTGGAAATATAAGCTACAGCCCTGGTATTCCTTAGACCTCCTTCTACACTGCTGTATAATTTAGATTATCAAAGCAGATAGTTCATAATTTCTACTTTGAACTGGATTATATGTGTCTACACTGCCATATAGTCCAGTTCAAAGCAGATAATCTGGATTTTATATGGCAGTGTAGATGAGGCCTTAGTGTCCAATCCAAGTATTAATCAGGGCTGGCCCTGATTTCCAGGATCAGACAGAATTTGATCCCTTTGGGTATTTAAGCTCTCGATCACAAAATACAAAGGCTAAAATATGATATCCATTAGCAAAACAAAGTACAATCATTAAGAGCATTTTCTTTCAATTTCATAATTTTAAAAATTCACTATTTTTCTTTTCAAACACTGTTTTTTTCCTGTTGTACACCCTTTTGTTTTTCAGCTGCTTCATGAGGGTAAAGTTATTTTGGCTTTGTTTTATTATCTAAAACCAAATGAAAAGACGGGATCAGTTGGCATGTCTGCAGCACAGTTTGAAGAGTTACAGCTTCTAGCAATTGCTACTTTAGCCACAGTGGCTCCCTTGCTAGTAGAAGACTACATGACGAACTATGGAAATACACGCCTTCTCATGTTCCTAGAGTGGTGCTTGAGTAATGGTGGGTAAAACAAAATAGGGTTTTTGTTATTGTATATTGTGCTTCTCAATACAACTAAATTTACCTGCTTCTTTTATAACTGGAAAATATGAAGTACTTTTTATAATATTGATTGGCTTTTTGTTTATTCATGTTCATTATTTAACTTTTGTACAAAGGGTACCAGAAGCTTAGTGAAACCATTTTCCATTATCTAGTTCTTGTCTTCAACAAAACTGAATGTTTCCCAAGATCTGGATAGGTGTCTTATTCAATGACTATACTAACAAATTTTCAAGTTTTAGAAAGAACGTGAGTTGATGAACAGTGTGATTCTTGAGGAATTCTAGTACTTCTTGACACATATACTCTGATTATAGTGATGATTATTAATTGTATCAGTTCTTGTGGGGTTTTTCGGGCTATATGGCCATGTTCTAGAGGCATTTCTCCTGACGTTTCGCCTGCATCTATGGCAAGCTTCCTCAGAGGTCTGCTGGAGCTGGGAAAAAGGGGTTTATATATCTGTGGAATGACCAGGGTGAGACAAAAGGCTTTTGTAAGTTGGGCTAGGTGTGAATCTTTTCAGCTGACCACCTTGATTAGCATACAATGGGCTGACAGTGCCTGGAGCAAACTCTTCTTGAAAGGTGATTAGATGTCCCTGCCTGTTTTTCTCTCTGCTGTTTTAATTTTAGAATTTTTTAATACTGGTAGCCAGATTTTGTTCATTTTCATGGTTTCTTCCTTTCTGTTGAAACTGTCCACATGTTTGTGGATTTCAATGGCTTCTCTGTGTAGTCTGACATGGTGGTTGTGAGAGTGGTCCAGCATTTCTGTGTTCTCAAATAATATGCTGTGTCCAGGTTGGTTCATCAGGTGCTCTGCTATGGCTGATTCTCTGGTTGAAGTAGTCTGCAGTGCCTTTTATGTTCCTTGATTCGTGTTTGGGCAATGCTGCGTTTGGTGGTCCCTATGTAGACTTGTCCACAGCTGCATGGTATACGGTAGACTCCTGCAGAGGTGAGAGGATCCCTCTTGTCCTTTGCTGAACGTAGCATTTGTTGGATTTTCTTGGTGGGTTTGTAGATTGTTTGTATGTTGTGTTAGTTCTTTAACTATTGAATTCATGAATTAGTTCTTTAACTATTGACTCACAACACACTACATCAAGGACTCAGCCCACTTCATTGAAAAAATCAGCAATCTCAAGCTAAATACAAATGACAAACTGATCAGCTTCGATGTGGTGTCTCTATTTACCATGGTCCCAGTTGCAGACACCATGGCACTCATCAACCAGAGGTTCCCAGAAGACATCACGGCGCTGTTTCACCATTGCCTCACCACCAGCTATTTTCAGTGGGACAATGAATTCTACGAACAGAAAGATGGAGTAGCTATGGGGAGCCCTCTCAGCCCAGTCATAGCTAACTTCTACATGGAACAATTTGAAAAACAAGCTCTTGAAACAGCAACCAAAAAGCCCACTATATGGTTCAGATATGTGGATGACACTTTCACCATTTGGAGCCATGGAGAAGAAGAACTCAACAGGTTCCTGGACCATCTTAACAGCATCCACCCAAACATCCAGTTCACCATGGAAAAAGAAAATGAAGGAAGCCTGCCTTTTCTAGATGTCCTAGTCATCCGCAAACCAGATCAACAATTGGGTCACACCGTTTACAGAAAACCCACACACACAGATAGATATCTACATAAAACTCCAACCATCACCCAAGTCAAAAAAGAAGCACCATTAAAGCCTTGGCAGACCGTGCAAAAAGAATCTGCGAACCCCACCTCCTCCAAGATGAAATGAACCACCTCAACTGGGCTCTACAGGCCAATGGATACTCCACCTCAGACATCAGAAGAGCTGCAAGACCAAGAACAAGCCACGAGAGTCAAGACGAAGATCCACCCAGAGGAAAAGTGTTCCTGCCATACATCAAGGGAACCACTGACCGCATAGGGAAGCTGATGAGGAAACACAACATACAAACAATCTACAAACCCACCAAGAAAATCCAACAAATGCTACGTTCAGCAAAGGACAAGAGGGATCCTCTCACCTCTGCAGGAGTCTACCGTATACCATGCAGCTGTGGACAAGTCTACATAGGGACCACCAAACGCAGCACCCAAACAAGAATCAAGGAACATGAAAGGCACTGCAGACTACTTCAACCAGAGAAGTCAGCCATAGCAGAGCACCTGATGAACCAACCTGGACACAGCATTTTATTTGAGAACACAAAAATGCTGGACCACTCTCACAACCACCATGTCAGACTACACAGAGAAGCCATTGAAATCCACAAACATGTGGACAATTTCAACAGAAAGGAAGAAACCATGAAAATGAACAAAATCTGGCTACCAGTATTAAAAAATTCTAAAATTAAAACAGCAGAGAGAAAAACAGGCAGGGACATCTAATCACCTTTCAAGAAGAGTTTTCTCCAGGCACTGTCAGCCCATTGTATGCTAATCAAGGTGGTCAGTTGAAAAGATTCACACCTAGCCCAACTTACAAAAGCCTTTTGTCTCACCCTGGTCATTCCACAGATATATAAACCCCTTTTTTCCCAGCTCCAGCAGACCTCTGAGGAAGCTTGCCATAGATGCAGGCGAAACGTCAGGAGAAATGCCTCTAGAACATGGCCATATAGCCCGAAAAAACCCACAAGAACTGAGTGATTCCGGCCATGAAAGCCTTCGACAATACATTAATTGTATCGTCTGAAGGAGAGTGTTCTTATTACCCCAAGCCCTCTGTCACCATACAAATGTAAAGATTCTGGGACTTCTTGCTTCTGTTCTAGGATACTGAAAAGTGATGGTAGCATCTTTATTTATGGAAACTTTATGAAAAATAGTATATTTGTTTTTCTATTAACATTTTCTCCTGCAGCTGCTGGATTAGGAACCTGATTAAATACTAGAAAAACATATATGATATGATAGCAAAATACAACCTAAAATTATATCATATTTAATATTCTTTAAATTGTTTTACAGCATTAAAAGTACTGCTGCAGGCTCAGTACACACTATATTGCATAAGATGTTTGAATTTGTTTTGTTTGCAGCACCCTTCTTTGCTCAAGGTAACAGTTTTCATGGTACAGGTGGTCGTGGCACCAAACTTGCCCAGATGCGGTATTGCCTAAAAGTGCTGAATCCTGTTGTATCACTTTGTGATGAGGCTGTGAATCTTGATCTTTGTGATAATGGGGCAATTCATCAGCTATTAGGTGAAGCATAGTTTCTTTGTTTCATTAACTCAATTTTGCCTGCATTGTTGAGCTACAAACATGCTCCTTTTTCTTTTTATGTTTTGACATTTTACTTTATAAGTTCTAAAAACCAATTTTATTTTCTAGATGATGTGGGAGAGCAATCCACATAATTATAGATTATCTTCTCTATGGCTGGTGACAAGGCAGTCCAAAGCTCTTTTTGTTAAGATCATTGACTCCTCTTCCTTTCAGAAAACATCTTTTATCTTTCTGCTTTGCCAATGAAATGTTTTATTTTACATTTCCCTGCTTTTTGTCAACTTAATAATGTACCAAGGCAATGACTTAATATTATCTTTAGGGTAGATCACATACAAAAAAAGAGGAAAGAAAGAGATGTAGAAGGAAAATGAAATATGGTAGTTTATTTAATTTTTATCATTAGCTTTTGATTCATGTTGTGAGCTGCTTTGGGTCTAATTCAGGAGAAATATATAAATTTAATAAAGTAAATAATATGTTCTTTGAATCTGTTGTGGAAAATATTGCAGAAAACAATTGTTGTAGAGCATGGAACATAGACTAGTGTGCTATTTAAAAATATTCAAAGAGATGGCACTTTGTAGAACCTGTAAAACTAATACAAATATTGGATCATGAATTTTTGTGGATTACAGTTCACTTTCTATTTCCACTCTGAATCCCCTCGGGGAGATAGGGTGGGTTATAAATAAAGTGTTGTTGTTGTTGTTGTTATTTCTGTCAGTGCATCTGAAAAAGTGGATTGTAATTCATAAAGTTCATGTGTCAATAGATAGTCTTGTGGCCTCAAGAATGAAACAAGACCTTTCCCCTTCTACAAATTATTTATTCATAAATATTTGCAGGGAAAGGAATCTTGAGTATTATCCAAATAAGTAGCAGAGCTTTTCACATTTCCTTTTTTGATTGTTTTAGTTGCCCCAGTATATTACGCAATTTTTAAAATTCATAGGAGGTTGAAAGTTTGCAGTAGTGATAGGAGTTGCCACTGTACGTTTTTCTAGAAGAGTTAATTTAACATCCACAGACTTGTTACTAACACAACAATTTTCACAGCAGTAGTCTAAGATTGTTTGTTGTTGTATTCTACTAGATATCCTAAAGAAAACCACAAGCAAATATGAAGAAGATGCCATTGTGCTGGAAATTCAGACTGATGTTTTCCTTATCCTATCAAATCTTTGTGAAAATAATACTCATAGAAAGGTTTGTATTCTTGCATTGTTTAAATTTAAAGTGGCAACATCTTACATTATTTTACACTTGCATAGAGGTAGCTTCTTTATGTAGATCATGCGCCCTTTGCTTCTGGTTTTAAAAATGTTTACAGTGTTAATTTCACAAATGACTAATCTTTACTAGCAGTTTGGAGTAGCACACAAAATTAAATGCCCATAACATAATAGTAGGAGGTTTTTCTTTTTTTTAAAAAAAACTTTGCAAGTAATGAGGACATCACTCTTTATAGTAAGAAGCTGTTCATTCTGGTAAGAACTTACTCCTTTGGATTTAACAAGCTTGGGCTCTTGTATTCTTGGGAGGGCAAAGAAAACTGATGAATGAACCCATATTTCATTAGCTTTTCTTGATTTGGTGGGATGAATGGGAAAGTCTTGTAGAATTCTAAAATGACTGATTGAGTTGCTTATGATGCAGTGGATATCAGTCTGGACCTAAGCCTTTCCAGCAGAAACAGTAAATAAGAAATCCAAACAGAATGAATGTGACGGTGATAATTATTATCAAGTGCAATAGAAATTGTTAATAATAATGTATGTTAATACTGTGGTTTTGGCTGATACATTAATAGGAACTCTTTGGATGGGATGGAATAGATATACTTATTCCATTTTTGAAGATGGATGCCAAGAAATTATACAGTGGATTGGGTCACAATCGTCTACTTTTTAGTGCTCTGGACTGTTTATGGTAAATACAGCTCTTTTGAAAAGTTAATCATTTGAAGGTGGATAGGTCCTAAGCTCTCAATAGCAATATTCTGTGAAAGATGATGTTAATGACTAATCTCCCCACTTATATTGATTTTAAAAATATTTTCTGATCATTCCATCACTGACATGAAAAAATAAGATCATAAAATGTGGTTTATTTACTTTCTAAAGGTTTGTTTACTTTAAACTTTCTATCAGCAACTCAATCAATATTTAATGTGTAATGTTGTCCAGAGATGCAAAGCCATTGCAGAAAAAAAGATATCTCCCTCATATCTGCTGTTCCCAGAAATGGGCAAGCAAGAAAGGCCTCTTTTGCAGATTTTAGACAATGGTAGGCTAATATAGATTAAGATCATCTTTCATGTAACTTTGTCTCAAATCATATCAAGTTTTACGTGGTGAAGCCATCAATTAAAATCTCATAAACATACTGATAATAAATCCAGCTGATGTAATATAAGCAATGTGTACCATCTGTGTTACTTCCATCAGTATTCAGACAACAGATCCTGCAGCATGGAAATCACTTTATAAAATTTAATTTAAAATAAGTACTTGGCTTCTGCAATTTTTATAAAACTCATATACAGATGTGTGTAATAAAATAGCATTTCATGGTCCATGAAATGCTACTGCTAGAGATGTATCAGCAAGTAGTGCTTCTCCCTCGATGTAAAGGTGTGTTGCATAGAAGCCTGGCCAATCACAGAAGTAACTTTTCCACGTTCTGATAACAAAGCTACTGCTATTTCCTATCCTTCCCAGATGCTCAGAATTGGGATGCCAGCTTTCTAATAATAGCAATAGATTTGTAGTCTTTTCTTGATGCAGAATTCAGTTCTCTTGTGAGGAAAAGTAACAAGAAACGAGAGCTTACTGTGTAGATTCTTTCATGGCTGGCGGGATTGAGTTCATCCTCATGTGCTAACCAAATTGTATATTGCTCCTCATGGCATTCTGAGAATGTGAGGTTGGAGTTGCTGTGAAGATTCATTTTGGGATGGCAGGAAGTCCAACATGATTGGGTTGATATGTAGGAATTAAAAGGAATAGATTTGTAATTTGTATCACTGATAAAAAGCAACATTCTGACCATGGGAGAGTTAAAATCCTGAGTTTAGAGTTTACTAAATCTGGCTATGTTAAGTTAATGTCAACCAGAGCGGGTTCTTTTAAATACAAAATAAGAAGCTTGTTCCCATATGTCTTCTATTACAAGAAAAATAAAAATTGTAAGAATGCTATGAAGTTCTTAATCAAAGCTGTTTCCGAGGTGTTAGCAATAAAGCTCTGTGTGCTTTGTGAAAAAGTAATTGAACTAGGAGATGTTTCCCTCTTTTGAAATATGTAGTGCAAATCCTGTGTAATTTCTGGAAGCAAGGCAAAAAGAGACTCTGAAAGCTGAAATTATTTTCATTTAAGGTGCTGTGTCTTGGGGTGTATCATTTTAGAGGACTATTTTCTTGAAAGAGAAGGAATCTTCACTCTCCTTGATTTGTTGATGGTGGGTAATAACATTTGAATAATAGCCATTAATACTAAAACGATTAATATTTTGGTACTCCATATAATCATAAGTCTCAAAAAGTAAGTAGAAATAGGAAGGGGAATTCCCCACATCTAGAAATTTGCTTCATAGGACTAGGAACCATTGGAGCCGGTTTTCAGTGTCAGGACAGAAGGAAGAGGGACTCAAATCTTGACACTAACACAAGTGCCAGACAAGATTAGGGCATTAAGTTATTGACCCTTCACAGAATGTGTAAAATGTTCCAAACAATATTACCCCACTCTCCCAATACCAATACTATTATGTGCAAGAAATAAAAAGAATATAGTCCTAATTCTTAGGTATATCATTTAAAAGCCATTTACTTTATTTAAAATGGAACAGCAGTTCATAAGATTTTAAATTCATCAGCTGATACCAGATGTCATACAAAATGTCATGTTTCCAGATTCAGAGGAGCTAAGTGACATTTGTAAATTCTGCTTCTTAAAATATTATTTTGTTCCATCCACAGGATTTATACAATAAATAGAGGCGGCCATTAAACCTTTCAGTCCTTCCAAATTATTGGGTTGTCATGCATATATCTCCATGTGATAATTTCCTAATTCATTTCTTAGTATATAGTCCACTTAGTCGATCTGTATGGATCCAAAGCTTTCAGTACTGTTGAAATGGATAGTAGAAGTCATTTGTGCATTTGAATTCTTCTGTACACATTGGTTCATATTATTAGTATTTTTCATTATAATAAAGGTAGGGAATTATATTTATAATTTTCTCCTTGCTTTTTTCTACAAAGCTAGATCAGAAGAATGTGTGCAATTTGGTTCTTGGACTATTAGTTGAATTTTGTGACAACCCTAAAACTGTTTCCCATATCAATGCTTGGCGAGGGAGGAAAGGCCAAACAGCAGCAAGTATGTTAATAAATTTGTGGAGACAAGAGGAGGAGGACATGGGAGTAAAACATGATAAAGTTGGCAAAATTGTTGGTAAGCATTCCTTTACAATGTATAACCACTGTTATATGTGTAAGGGATAAACAATGTTTTCAGACGGCCTAAAATTTTCAATGATGTAAACATCGGAAATTCTTAATCCTACATATGTGCTTCTTACGTGAGTATAAATGACTTTACAGATGTTTGGAGAAATAAAGTATGTTGATCACAAAGTATGGAAAAGACAAAGATTTGGATATAACAGGTAATATTATAAAATTTATCCTATAGGCATATGTTGACTTTCTTCTCTCTTCTTTGACACATAAATGCCCATTGCATTATTTCATTTTTGCTTTGGAATAAGAATTTAGAATGTTCTAATAATGGCTTAAACCAGAATTAGATTATGTCTCATGGAAACTCTCCAATATCTTCACAAGAGTAATACTGTAGGAATTATAGAGATGCTTTATTCTTCCCTTACCAGTAGATGGCATTCATTTTTTCGTTTGCAAAAGTACATCTATTAGTGCCCTGTATTTCTTTATTAAGCCAGGCTTGCTTGGTGTTTAACTGAGGTCCACAAGGTATCTATACAACTACATTTATTTCCCCAAATTACACCAAGCTCCTATAAAAATAATTTGTAGAGCCCAAACATTGAAATTACATGGGCAAACTTTAGCCCTCCAGGTGTTTTAAATTTCAACTCCCACATTTCCTAGCAGCCTACCAGCTGTTAGGAATTCTGGGAGTTGAAGTCCAAAACATTTGGAGAGCCAAAGTTTGCCCATGCCTGCCCTAGATACTGACAGCCTCAACTTTCTCCTCCCCTGAGCTGCGCATGAAGCAATTCAGTTGCTGAATATCTGTATATTTCTTATTTTATGTTGTAGACACAAAGAAGCCATTAATGAGCCAGTTCCAGAAAACCCAAGAAGTGATTCCAATGCCTGCCAATTGTCCCACTATTGCCATAATGGATGTTGCTGAAAACATGAGAGCCAAGATTTATTGTATCATTTGTAAACTAGGTAAAGGCACCATAAACATAACCTGCATTTCATAATAATACGTCGTTTAGAAATGGATATAAATCACTTAAGGATTTTTTGTTTTGTAACCAAACCCAGCACAGATAAGCAGAATAAAATAACAAAGGAAAGTACATAAAATAACTTACTTACTTGAATAAGATCATAGGTTTGGGGAAGTGTCTTCCACTATTACAATATTAAGAAAAGAAATATCCTATTCCTTTTTGCCAACTAGTTGCTAAGAACATTCAGAGCGAGATGTTACCTATTCTTCAGTGACATCATTCAATTTTGCTGAAGTTATGCATTTTAAAATTGATGTGATTTTAATACAATAATAAGATAAGGTAATTATGGATGCCTTACTTTAGGTTTTGAAAATTTGCCTGGCCTAACCACGAAGGATTTTGTCACACTTGCTATCATACGTAGATATCTTGACTTCAAGGTGAGTTTGGTGTTTTTATGTGGGTTTCTATTATTAATGCAGCTTTCTGTTTACAGCTTGGAAGAAATAGAATCAATGTTCAGCATGCTACCATTATTTCCTACACTAGATCAAATTAGAATTTTAAATGAAAAAAATGTGTGTTATGAACCAACCTAGACACAGCATATTATTTGAGAACACAGAAATACTGGACCACTCTAAAAACTACCATATAAGACTTCGCAGAGAAGACGTTGAAATCCACAAGCATGTGGACAGTTTCAACAGAAAGGAAAAAATCATGAAAATGAACAAAATCTGGCTATCAGCATTAAAAAAAACTCTAAAATCATAACAGTAAATAAAGACAAGGGAGGTCCAGACAAGAAACAATCAGGGACAGCTAATCACCTCTCAACAAAGGATTCCCCCAGGCAGTAAGAAGCCACACCTTGAAAATTGCTGGAACATTACATTCTAATCAAAGTGGCCAATTGAAACATTCATACCTACCTCCAACAAACAAGAGTTCTTTCTCCCACCTTGGAAATTCCACAGATACATAAACCCAATTTCCCTAGTTTCCAACAGACCTCACAACCTCTGAGGTTGGCTGGCCATAGATGCAAGCGAAATGTCAGGAGAGAATGTTTCTGGAACATGGCCATACAGCCCGAAAAACTTATAGCAACCCTATATGTGATATACTTTACACATATAGTTTTCTTTAAACTCCATATAAAACCCAAGAAGCTTATATAGAGGCTTGATAGTGATGCTCACCTAATCTATGTTATTTGGATCATAATATCATTAAGCTAGAATAAATGTATCATGTTTTACAAATCATCTGTTTGATAAGACTGGTTTGCAAAATTCATTATCTCCATGTTGGATAGCTTATACACAAGATGGGAAACTTGTAGGTTATGTTTTTTATTTATCGTATCAGGAGCAAACCAAGGGTACAGTTGTAATGTATTTAAAAAACACAAAGTTTTAAAAATACATTACAGCACTCCAAGCTGCCCACTTGGAGTGCCTCTGGTGTTGCTATAAAAAGATCCTCCATTGTGCATGTGTCAGGGCTCAGACTGCATTGTAATAGGTGGTCTGTGGTTTCCTCTTCTCCACACGTGCATGTTGTAGACTCCCAATTTGTGGCCCCATTTCTTAAGGTTGGCTCTGCATTTCGTGGTGCCAGAGCACAGTCTGTTCAGAGCCTTCCAAGTCGCCCAGTCTTCTGTGTGTCCAGGAGGAAGATTCTCATTTGGTATCGGCCATGGGTTGAAGTTCTGGGTTTTAGCCTGCCACTTTTGGACTCTCGCTTGCTGAGGTGTTCCTGCAAGTATCTCTGTAGATCTTAGAAAACTATTTCTTGATAAAGGTGTTGGCATGCGGCTGATATCCGAACAAGAGATGGGCCAGAGATGTCACTGCCTTGGTCCTTTCATTATTGGCTGCTACTTCCTGGCGGATGTCAGGTGGTGCAATACCAGCTAAACAGTGTAATTTCTCCAGTGTAGGGGACAGACATCCTGTGATAATGCGGCATGCCTCATGCTGTAGGTTATATTAAAGAGATTATATGAAGTTTGAAATTTGGTATTCTAGGAGACCCATAAATGTTTGTCAAGTATACAGAATTGCCTAATTCGTTAGACTCCGGGACACTCTTTTCCAGTGCAGAGCTCAGGAATAAGACCGTCTTCCTTCATATCTCTTGATCTTGCCCTATTGAAATTCCAGGTATATGCAGTGGTTTTGTGTCTGCTGCCCAGTTTACAAAAATGAAAAAAAAAACTGCCTAATTTTCCTTTTGAGTTTATTTTGTGGAGTATAATACTTATATTTAAAGTACAGTTGAATCAATTACCTTTTAAATCCCACAAAGGTTGGTGAAGTCTGGAGTGAAATATGTGCAGAACTTAAAAAAGAAAATTTCAAACCAGTCACTCCTGACCCAGAAGTATTGCAGGTTGTTACTGAAGCATTTGAAAATGTTGGAAAGATGGTGCTTTCCCTTCAGACTGAAATGCTAGAAAGCCAGAAATACCAGGAAATTCAGGAGGAAGAAAAATGTTATGCTAAGGTAAGCAAAGAAGCAATTTTGTGAGGGCCATTTATTTAGAAAGAAATTCCTTTGGTTATTACTTACATTAATATGAGTTGTTGCTTCTTTAAAAGCTAAAAAAATACAAGGTTTCTCATTTGTGGCCTATATGCAGAAAAAAGTTGATGGGAAGCCATATGCAAGTATGTTGTGAGAATAATAACATACTTGCATACTTGTATGTTGTGATGGATTGGGGTTACACTCCCCCTGAAGGTGCAGGTTCTCAGCTTGCGAGTTCTCCTGGACTCATTGCTGAGTTTGGAACCCAAGGAGGGCTTTGTACCCGTACCTTGTGAAGTCAGACTTGGCCATAGTGGTCCATGCGCTGGTTACATCTCATATAGACTACTGCAATGTGCTCTACGTGGGGCTGCCTTTGAAGACTGTTTGGAAGTTTCAGCTAGTCCAGCATGCGCCAGCCAGATTGCTAACAGGAGTAGTGTACAGAGACCACACAACTCCCCTGTTGCGCCAGCTCCACTGGCTGCCAGTTTGCTACCGAGCACAATTCAAAGTGCTGGCTTTTGCCTAAAAAGCCCTGAATGACCCTGGCCAAACTTACCTGTCTGAACACATTTCCCTCTATGAACCATCACAGAGATCTTCTGGGGAGGCCCTGCTCTCATTCCCACCACCTTCGCAAGTATGACTGCTGGGGATGAGAGACAGTGCCTTCTCAATGGTGGCCCCTCAGCTGTGTAGTAGGATTAGATAGCCCCTTCCCTCCTGCCATTTCGCAAACAAGTGAAAACTTGGCTTTGGGAGCAAGCATTTGGCCCAGCATAATATGTAATACAGTTGGAATTGGCTTTAGATGGATGAATATGATTATCTGATTTTCTGACTGGATATATGCACAATAGTTGTCTAATGTTTACATATGTTGTTTTAATGTTGTTTTCAATTGTTGTTTAGTTGCTTTTTAATTGTTGTTGTTCAAGCATGGAATCATGCCACTTATGAAAGCCATCCTGAGTCCCCTTCTGGGTGAGAAGGGCAGGATATAAATGTTGTAAATAAATAAATAAATAATTGAAAGTGCTACCTTTAGTTTTGCTAAATGTTGTGTTGTGCTGCCTGCAATATGAACCAAAGAATAAAATGGCATTTAAAAGCTAGAGACTGAACTATGCCTCTAAAAAGTCTGAAGAGTGAGGTTTTTTCCTGATTATTCTCTTCCGTATCCTAGATTCATTCACTTCATAAGCAAAGGGAAATGGTCAGCAAGTCTTGGGAAAATTTCTTAACTCGGACATCAAATTATGAGGCTTTAAAGGTAAGCAAATCATTCAGAAGAGTACATTAGGGTTAGTATCATCTAGTACTTATTTTGAAGCTATTGTGCGGAAAGGTTTCTTGGGGGAGCTATTCAACTCCAAATCCAAATATTAGTCTCCCCTGAAATAGAGCCATTGAATCAATGGGACTTACAGAAATATTTATAGCCACTGATTACTAACTAAGGACACGAAAAAGCAGCTTTGTACAACTAGGGGAAATACCAAAGAGAAGTTGATAATACACAAGAACTTCTCAAGTTATCTGTAACTCCTTTTACCATTTTGAGTGGGGCTAGAAAGAGTAAACTTGTTAATGGAATCTCACAATTGTGGGTATAAAGTAAGACATTTAACTGCAAATGTTCTATGTTGACATGAATATTTACCATTTGGATTTTTACAGCAAGCAAAAAGACTTCAGGAAAAATCCATAGAAATTTCTAGATCAAAAGTGAAGTCATTTAAGGCAACACTCCATCCAACTGACATTAAAGGCCTAAATACAACTGTAAGTAAAATACACACTTCCTCATTTTCAATCCAGATTGATATAATATAAAATGTTTCAAATGTATCTTGCCAGTAACCTCATACAAAATATCTTTATATATTATGAAATAGCAGGTATTCAACATATTTAGTATGTATTACATTCATATTCTGTGAACATCAGTTGTATTCAGACAAGAAATGCATTAGCATTGCAGAAAAGTTGCACATACAAGATTGTGGTGCTGACAGTCTGATTTTTAAGCTCCTCAATTGTTATAGTTTATATCTGTTGCACTTCAAGGCTGGGAACTACCTCTTTACTTAAACACACCCCTGTTCAAGGTAAAATAACAAAGCAGTTTATTGAAGAATATAGATGAAAAGTAATTCAGCAAAAAGTATTTTAAAAACCAAAGTCCAAATATCAAGAAGAAATCATAGTACAGGAATAGCATCAAAACCCAGGAATACAAAAGCAGAAAAAATCCAAAACGTGAGATTCAGGAGCAGTCCTCAAAACTTGGAATCATGAGACATGAACAAAAGGAAACATGGAACATGAAACTAGAAATCCCTTGACTTGACAGTAGTTGTATACTCAAACACCAATATAGCCTGGACTGATGGACCCATCTGCTGGGCTATCTAATATAAAGAAAAAATCATGCCTTCTCCCCTAGGAGACTGATAAGGACTTCTTGACTAATAGGCATCTTGACCTTCGTAAACTCTCTTGAGAAGCTCTATTTTGATGGAACATAAATCTCCTATCCAACTGCTCATTAGTCTGCCCACCTGGACTTTCATTTCCATCCTTTGAATTCCGATCTGTTACTGACCTTGTTTTCCTAGTGAACTGCTTTTCAGGAATGTGGCCTTCAGACACTGGCCGCTCATTTTCAGGCTTAAAATCTCTTGCTGGCTCTCCTGCTGACCTGCAGACCCAGAACCCCAGTGTCATTAAAATGACTAACAGGCCCAGAATCCCCAGAGAAATCAGGTGCAGGCATAATCTACAACAATACCTAAGAAAAAAGCATTTAAATGAGTTCTCTTAGCTAGAGGGAAAGAAGCATTGAAGACACATTGAAAGATAGTATGGATATGGATAGTAGAAGTAAAATTTGAAATCATACAAACACATTCTATACAAACAGATACCATTTTTCTTTAAGTTTTATACTTCCTTATATAAAACATTGCCTACTCTGTTCATGCCATACCTGTGCAAATAGTATTGCAGTGGGCCCTTGGGACCTGGAACCCCTCCACAGATGCCCAAAAGAAGTGAATGATCATATCCCATATTATTAAGTGGCAGCCATATAAACACAGATACTTCATCACATCTATATTTATTTTTATGTCACCTCCATTTATATACAGGACATGGTCAGTGGAACTTACAGATCCAGAACCTACATATCTCATGATAAAACTAATACAATACAATTGAAACCTAAAATATACAAACTTTAAAATGAAATTAAACATAAACAGCATTAAAAAATAAACAGTTTAGGCCTTTAAAAACAATTATTTATTTATTTATTATTTATTTATTTACTCCATTTGTATACCGCATTTATCAGCCTGCGACGGTGACTCAATGCGGTTTACAGTAAAAAAGGGGAACACTGACAATATATAAGACGCACATACACAAACAACACACAAAGTCATCAACGCCTCAATTAGAATCAGATCCCGTTCTCATAGTCCTTTTTCGTTCCTTGTTCAATGCCGTCTTACTGAGTTAGTTGTCATTGCATAGTTGTCCAAACGCCTGCTCATAGAGCCACGTCTTAACCCTCCTCCGAAACACCAGCAACGAAGGGGCCTGCCTGATGTCCACTGGTAGGGCATTCCATAGCCGAGGGGCCACCACTGAGAAGGCCCTGTCTCTCGTCCCCGCCAACCGCGCTTGCGACGCCGGCGGGACCGAGAGCAGGGCCTCCCCGGACGATCTTAAAGTCCTCGTCGGTTCATAGGTGGAGATGCGTTCGGAGAGGTAAGTGGGGCCAGAACCGTTTAGGGCTTTATAGGCTAAAGCCAGCACCTTGAATTGTGCCCGGTAGCGGATTGGCAGCCAGTGGAGCTGGCTCAACAGAGGAGTGGTATGCTCCCTGAGTGCCGCTCCCGTTAACAACCTGGCTGCCGAGCGCTGGACCATCTGAAGCTTCCGGCAGTCTTCAAGGGCAACCCCACGTAGAGCGCGTTGCAGTAATCTATGCGGGATGTGACAAGAGCGTGGACTACCGTGGCCAAGTCTGACTTCCCAAGATACGGGCGCAGCTGGCGCACGAGCCGAAGCTGTGCAAATGCTCCTCTGGAAACCGCTGAAACTTGGGGTTCCAAGCTTAGCGAAGAATCCAGAGTCACACCCAAGCTGCGAACCTGCGTCTTCAGGGGGAGTGCGACCCCATCCAACACAGGCTGTAACCCTATACCCTGTTCGGCCTTCCGACTGACCAGGAGTACCTCTGTCTTGTCTGGATTGAGTTTCAATTTTCAATTAGAAATAGATTCATAGCTAAAACCACAGCAACCCCTGACAAACTATATAACCTTCACCTGAAGCATAAGCTTATGATGTGTGTATTCACGTTTCAACTAAAGTGTAGATCTAGAACAGCAAAGCACGGGACCATAAGGAAAGAAGCAATGTCTAAAGACAATTAATTTATTTATACATTTCCTTTGAAAATGTATTGTGAAAGAATATATATTTTAGAATGCCCCCCCCCCCCAAGGAATGGTTGGAAAAGAGGACATTAGACTAGCCCTTGTTTCATTTTGTCAGACCATTGAGCCAAATGTTTTCTTTTTACAGATTGCATCTGGTCGCCTAGTAACAGTGGAAAGTACACCTTCTGAATTGACTGGAGGCCCACTGGCTGATACAGATCTTGCACTTAAAAAGCTCCCTATTCGTGGAGGAGCTTTAAAAAGCATCAAAGAGGTTAAAGTAATAGAATCATTCAAAAAAGGTTCAGTATCTGTAAAATAAATATTCCCCATACTGTTCTAGACAGCTCTCTTATATTTTTTAAATTAACGTGTGTGTATGCATGTATGTGTGTATATATATATAAGCACCTATTTGTGCCACACTGGGAAATATAGTTATTTTTAAATAGCTTTTTTGGCTCTATTAATAATGCGGACATCATGATGCTATTGAATAAATTCAATGCATGTCAAAACATTGCACTCTAATCATTGCCAAATTGACTCAATTTACATTCTGTTGTCACTAAGAGCTAACATTAAATGCATAGAGTGATGTGTATTATCGTGACATTTACATTGGCAGAGATTTGAAAGATAAAGAGAAGAAAACAGCTACTTTCAATGTACGGTAAAAGGGGCATTGGCATCATTGTCATAATCCAGTAATTGCTCTAAAATCATGTGAATAAGAAAAATGCTGTATCACTGACGTGTTACAGGCAAATAATATCTTAAATAAACAGCCACATGATTGATTCATACATTACAATTACATCTTTGTCCCCTTTCGAATACACGCACAGTGGGATCGAAGTCAACGAGGGTAATGTAGGAAGCAGCCGAACTTTAGGGAAATCCATAACCAAAACCAACTGAAGAACTAAGAACTGCTTTGCTTCAATCTCCATGTAGAAGCTTTGACTAACACTTCACTGTTAGGCAGGGCTTCATTCTGGGATGGCAGGAGGAGCAACCATTGGGTTTCATCCCCACACTCCAACAGGAATAGCAGGATCCAAGGTTCTTTTTCAGTTGAGCTGTTCAAACCCCGCCCCCTTCCCCAACAGTTTTTTCTCGCCTACCTAACCCAACCAGTCATGTTTACCCTCCTCTGACAAACTTAAAAGGCAAGGATGTTAGTAAGGATAAATAACAAGGGGATAATTAGGAAAGATAAGCAGTTATAGGTCTCCTGGTTAACTGCGACTGCCATTTTGAAAACCAGAGCTCAGAGGGAATGCCTCCAAAGTGGAGAACATTGTGGTAGCAATGATATCTTTCACAGAAAGCTGCAACTATCATTTTGAAAACAACAGCTTGAAGGCAGTGGCTCCAAAGGGGAGAAAAAAGCAGTAGCAATCATATCTCCCTTGGTTTCTCTGCAACCACCATTTTGAAAACCACATATCTAAAGCAAGGTACTGCTTGGGAATAGATGTAACCCTCCTCAAGCCATGAGGAGAGGCGGGCAAGAAATAAAATTTATTAATATTTATTTTAATTTGTTTCTCTCTAAGCATCCTCATTGATCATAAAGTTATTGTTGGTAGATGCTAGCATTAGAGATAAAGAAGAAGCTAATCAGAAATATCAGCAGTTCAGGGGATGCAGTCAATGATAGATGGATGGATGGATGGATTGATATAACATTGCCGCCAGCCTGCGGGTCTCTAGGAAAAGGAGGACTTAAGGAAATATTCCTGTCCTCTAGCAAGAGTGATTTCAAAAATTGGAAGGGATACAAACAATAAAGGAGGAACCTTTCCCCTGATAGCATAAGAACATATTAGAGCCACAGTAAAATAATTAAAAATGCTTCTCAAATGGCTGCTTGCCCTTAACTATGAGAAGAAGGAGAACTTGAGTAAAATATTCCTGTCCTCTAGACAGCCAATTCTCTCACACCAGAAGCGACTTGCAGTTTCTCAAGTCACTCCTGACACACAAAAAACAGCTTTATGTCAACTTCCTTGAGGACGTTCTATAAGAATGATTTTGTTTAAGGTGACATTCTTAGTTCCTGTAACTTTAGCAAGAAGGATGCCAAGGTAGGCAGCTTTATTTGTGAAACATAATTTCTGTCAGTCGAGCAGGACAGATTCAAATTAATAATGGAGCTGTATTTTCTTCCTAAGTGCTTAGAGAGAGAGTGCCATAGAAGTAGTCTATCTTCCAAATTGTTGTCTAAGATTTAGCTTCACACAGGGGCTTTGTTTATATTATACAATCCTAGAATCATAAGACTGGTTATGGAAGATGAATTGATGCATACATATACTATAACTATGAAAATAAACCACAACCCAAATGTGTTCCGCATCATTTGACACAATCATATGCATCATCAATGGCTTTTTCTGTTTAAGTGTCCACACAGGATACAGTGATACCTTGACATAGTTCATTCTCTGATCAAGCCCTTAACTCAAAAACTCCTATGCCAAAGCAGATTTCCCCATTGAAATACACTGAATTTCAGTTAATGTGTTCCAGGCCCCCCCCCCCCCCCCAAAAAAAACCACACCGATTTCCCCATTTGGAGCTCGGTCAAGAATGCCACTTCTCATGCTAGCGATAGTGTGAGATTATGGTACTCTTGTGAGAGGTAGCACAAGACTAACTGCCATCTTGCGCAGGGCCTGCTCAGGAGGTGCAGAACCTCCTCCTCCGACAGTGACCCATAACTTGGATTACTACTCGCAAGTTGGAACAGAAAAATGGACAAACGACAGTTCATATCTCGGATTGCTTGTAAGTGGAGACACTTGTAAGTCGAGGTTCCACTGTATTTGCAATGCAGCACAGTGAGTTGAGGCTCCAGTGTTTGTGACACAATTAAGTGGGACCAATGTAAATCAGCATGAGCAGCTTCTGAAGCACCGTGCTACAATCTGTAGTATCAAAGTGATTCTTCCACTCAGAAGAAGGGCTTGGGAAAGTCCCAATTGTAGTGGATTGTTTTTGTGGATTGCTCTTCTGATTCTGGGGGAGACGGAGGGCAGGTGGTTGTGGAAGCAGCAATTTGGGATCTGGGGTTAAGTGGTGAGGAAGAAGGAGAGGTGGCAGGTACATCAGAAATCCCTACCTTTCTGGAACGTCAAAGGGAGAAAGAAGTCAGAAGGAGATCAGCTAAGCTAGCATAGGAAACACTGAGCAATCAGACCGCACCCTAGCGTCAGCTGTGCTGGGAAGCTCAGAGCTATAAATTAGCAGCAAAGTCAGGGGCCAGTGCTGGCTGCAACTGACCTATTTTCGTGGGAGTTCCTGTCATCAGATTTCTTAAAGCTTTTGTCGCTTGCAACTTGTAAGCCTGTTTATTAAATACTTTAATTGTCTGATGTGAAGACTTCTGTTTTACGTTTGCTTGAAGACTGCATTATCATTGAGATCATACTCTGTTTCACTAATTGCATTATCTTTATTTTGGCTGAAGTAAAGCCTTTTTTATTTGCTTTCACTTGTGTCTGTTTCTGGTGTAAAATTGGACAATTGCTCCTCTTGACTAACCTGAGAACGAGAAATTGTACATATCGTTAAGGTTCATGCTGGGGCAGCAGGAGGATCAATCCACATTGTCCTGGAAATAACAACAAACAAAAAATAGTTGATAAGTGGAAATGGTTCTCAGACTTTACGTTAGTTAAGGCTTGATATTAAAACTGTTAGAGAAGGGGGCGTGTCTTACTGGCTAAATTGAAAAAGAATCTTGGATCCTGCCATTCCGATTGGAGCAACAGGGTTAAAACCCAGTTGTAGTAGATTACTCCTCCTGCCATCCTAGAATGAACAGTATAATTTTGCATTTCTCAGTGTGAGAAACAAACTTGTGTAAAAGGGCATCTCTAGATTTCTAGAACTGTTGCTGAAATACACAATGTCTCAAAAAGATGTACCTGGTTTGGAATAGCTATATCTTTGTAAACACAAATCTCCAATGAATGAAACTCTCACCCCATGAAATGGGTAAGGTGTAAGAATTTCAAATCATTACTGCTACATGCCTCTCCCAGCACACAAGCAGCCCATAGCCGGTCATTTGCAACATGGTGACTCCCTATTATAAGGCCTTACAAGATATCCATTTGCAAAAATATTTTTTAGATTTCTTTCTGGCTCAAAACGATTGATAAAACTTAACAACTTGATAACTCATGACACCATTTGTAACTTTTTGTGTAACGTGTTGCCATTGTGAAATATTCTGATTTGAAATTGGGTGTGTCATTTTGAAACACCCTAGATTTTTAAAGACTAGGTGAAAATTGGAGACGACTTAGACAGATAAATGTAATATTTCTATTGCAGCAGGCACTATAATTTGATACTACAAGTCAGTGGTAGTCCCACATTCTAATTTCCTATTCATATGACTCACACATGCAACTGTTCAGTCATTAGTGACCTAGAACACTGCTTCTTAAACTGTGGGCCCCAATCACGAATGGGCCCCCCTTTTGCTATATATTGGTGTCCAAAAAAAATCTGGCAATAGTAAAAGTTTTCTGGTCATCACCTAGAAGCTGTTTTACACATTTATACTAATCTGTTCTGCAGTGTTTACAGTACTCTGCAGAACATGCTTCAGCTGTACTTCATTAAAAGGAAAACCAGTCTTGTTTAGGAAGCCTTGCAAAGGCTGATTTGTTATCAGTAAATGTTCCATTTTTATACTTATTTCATTCATGTGTGTGTGTGTGTGTATATATACATACACATACACACACACACACACACACCTGGGGTCATGTAAACATTTCTCAGGCCGAAAGGGGTTGTGAGTGGAAAGGTTGAAGAAGCCCTGGTCTAGAACATCGGCAGCAACTTTTCATTTGCAAGATGACAGTTCTAACTGTAATCCCTTCTTTCCCCCTCCATATTGGTAGTGTATTACCTCACTAGCAGAGTCTTGCATCCCTCATTCCCCATCCGTATTGTTGGCACATTTTCTGGATAATGTGTAAATGCAGCTCTTCCACACCATGGGAGTCATCCTGAAGAAGGAGCAGCAATTCCTGATTCTAACCATTCTATCTCCTATATTTATTCACTTGCAATTCTTTTATTTATTATTATTTCTTAGGAAGGATTTCTGCTATTGCGATTAGACTTTAGTATTAAAATCTGCACGTGAATAGGCCATGTAGCCAGTGGCATGTCCACAGGGTCAGCACACAAATTATTCATACTCTTAAGCACTCCCATTTTGAGAATAGCAAAACAGTTGGGAGACAAGAGAACTCGTCCAAAAAGTTTTATATATTGCTAAAATAGTTTAAAATGAAACTATGCTGTTTAAAACTGTGTTTGTTTTTTTCATTGGGGAGCATTTACAACTAAGAGAAGTAGGTATCTAGAAAAAGAATGCAAAGATTTGGGTGTTATGGTTCTTCAAATAAGGAACAGGAAAAGGACACAATGAAGCAGACCTGGAGATCTGAAGTACAAGGAATCCATGACATTTTGGTGGCAAAATGTTGACTACATAAATAGTAGAATTGCTTGATTTAGAAGTCTGAAGGGAAAGGAAAGTAATAAAGTCACAGTGGATATATTTGGCTTGTTCCAGATAAGGGGCTATACAAATGGATTATCTAATCAGTTTTGATCAGTTGAAAATCCACTGTAAATATAAGATATTCTCATTTTTACTGGTTTTAGGTCACAATTTTGGCCCCATCTAAATGGGCTACAATAAGGCAGTGCACTTGGATATTTCCTAAATGATTAAATTCTTTGGTAGAAAAAAACGAGAAGAGGTTTGGAAAGCCTTTATAAGGAAACTAGAGTTCCTGCAACAGTAAGAGAAATAAAGCCCACTATATTAATTTGGAATGTAAAACTCTTTAAGTTTTCTCTTTAGACCAGTGGTTCCCAACCTGTGGGCCATGGCCCTCTAGTGGGCCACAAGACCTAAAATAAGGTTACTGCTCTTGATTATTAAATATGGTTTTCTGTGAACGAGCAGATGGCAACTACTGGATGGCATATGTTCTGTATCAGAAACTAGAGCTGATATGGTCTGTTCAATGCAGTTTTCTGAATCAGCACTGCAAGTAACCAAACTGAATCTAAAGTTGACCAAAAACTGATTCATAACCATTTTGGTACTAATGTTGGAGACTGGTCCCTGGTCAAATCGGCCCTGGTCAAGTGTTCCCTAGTCAAAATGTTCCCTGGTCAAAAAAAATGGTGGGAACCACAGCAATAAATAAAAACAAAAGGATCCATAACTGCCTCACTTGGTAATATGTTATTGCCATTGTGGTTGTTGTGTACTTTCAAGCCATTTCTGACTTGTGTCAACCCTAAGATGAGTGTGTCACAGGGTTTTCTTTGCATTTTGGATCAGAGTGAATTTGCCTCTGAGATTCAGAGTGTGACTTGATCAATGTCGCCTAGTGGGTTTCCATAACCAAATGGGGATTGAGAACCTTTCTCCAGACTCATCGCCTATTGTTATCATCATCAGCCCACTTTTATATCAATACAGGCAGTACCTGAGTTAGAAACATCCAACTTACAAACAACTCATAGTTAAGAACAGGGGTGAGACAACAGTGAGCGAGGAAAATCTACCCCTAGAAAGGAAAATTCACTCCTGAAAAGCTTTATCTACAGTTCTTTGTTTCCACAACAAGCCATTTTTTTTTTCAAAATCCAATTATCACAGAGATAGAAAGTGAGGTTAACTCTTCTGATCAGGGAAACAGAGAGCAAAACAAACACCACAGGGTGTTAACCTTTCCCTATGCTAACTAAAACCCTCGGTGGCGCAGTTGGTTAAACCGCTGAGCTGCTTAACTTGTTGACTGAAAGGTTGGCGGTTGGAATCCGAGGAGTGGGGTAAGCTCCCACTGTTAGCCCCAGCTTCTGCCAACCTAGCAGTTCGCAAACATGCAAATTTGAGTAGATCAATAGGTACTGCTTCAGTGGAAAGGTAACGGTGCTCCATACAGTCATGCCGGCCACATGACCTTGGACTTAGAAATGGAGATGAGCCCCACCCCCCAGAGTCGGACTTGACTAGACTTAATGTCAAGGGGAAACCTTTACCTTTACTTATGCTAACCAAAGCTTGTGTGTGTGTAAAACAAAAGGCAGAGTTTGTATGTCCAAGACTTTGCCTTCTATGCATGTAACAAGTATCAAGGACAATATCCAAGGAATAAGAGCACAATTTTAATAGTTTTGACTGCATAGAAAAATATTTTAATTCGTGATAACCAGCATGATCAAATTCAACACCGAATGACTGCACAGAAAGTTACATCAACCATCCTTGGACTTGCGTAGGCTTTTCTGGTTTTCTGTACACTGGAATCTCATTCATGAGACATTAAAATATGCTTGTCCTTACTGTACTGTGATTTGTTAGTGTATAAAAATATATTGAGTTTCTACTGAATTTAGCAGTTTTTGAAATAAGAGAATTCCCCTGCCCATAAAAGAAGTCTACAAAAATGTGATAATGGATTTAAATATGGATTTACCTGAGAGAACACAAGTAATTTACTCAAAAGAAATAAAACATTTGCATTGCATTGATGAGAAAAGTGACCATGTTTGTAGTGATTGCTTGGAACATGCTTATTAAATTATAAGATAATTGAAAAGATCACAAGAAATAGTTCTCAAAAACATTCACAGTGAAAGATCTGCTTTTTGAAAAGTCAGCCATCTTCCTTTAGTTTGGCATCACTTCTGATGTCTTCTCTAGTTTTATCTCCTTGCCCTACTGTTGAAATTTGCAACACCTGTAGAAAGAGAAAGGAAAGATGTTTACAAATGCAAACAAGTCTTATTTCCTCATTTAATTTTTTGTTCCAAGCTGTCAAATACAAATGCTGTTGCCATGAAGATTGGGACAATGTTGGATGTTATCCCTTTTATAGTGCAATAGGACCTAGATTTTATAGGCACAAGTATAACTCTTAACTCCTTAGCTGTAACATGTTGAGAAATATCAGAAGAAACAAATCAAGAGTTATTTCCTTAATCTGACGGAAACAAAACAAAACATTACAATTCTTTAACAGGTGAATGTGAAAAAAACACCTTCTGAAGTTTCCTGTGCATTTGTCAAAGTGTTGCGTGAGAATCGTAGTTGTCTCTTGCCCACTCCATGAGACCTGGAAACCAAACAGTCTATGTACATATTCCAGAAGGTTTGTGCTAAATCGTTGAAGACATCATTATGCTTGGGCGTAGAGGACTCTTTTAAGAACATCATAAATTTCCAGAGAGCAGTAACTGTGTCTGCTGCCCTAATGTTCTTCATTTCCATCAGCTTATGAGAGGAGGCTTCCCAGCATGAATTATCAATTTCTCCCAGGCTGTCAGGGGCTCCGTTATGGTAGTCTATATTGCCATTAACTAAATTCAACATCAACAGACTGCCCAGTTGAAGAAGCCACCTTCTTCGGATTGAGGATCCCATGTTGCACAGGCGTACCTGAAAATAATGCAAACAAATGGTTCAGCTTTCTCTTTTTATAAACTTTGAACTATGCAGTAGCAAAATCTTGACAGGCGTGCAGTTGTACAGTATTACAAGTATGGGTTCTCCCAGCCAGAAGTGCTATTAGTTCTAGTTCCATTAATTTTGCCATAGTATTTTTTTATTTCTGTGCATGGTTGTGAAAGCTGAAAGTTAATACAAAATTTGGAAGTATTCTTTGGGCATCCAAAAAGACCAAATGTGAGAACCAAGTGTGAGAAGGAAGGGAGGAGAGGGGACAGAACCCAAATGGGCTTATAATAAGCTTAAACTAGATGTAGGCTAGGAAGTTGCCCTGAAGTCTCTTCCTGTGGCAACTGGAACAGACAGGAGGTCCTTTGGCCAGTGGTGGTCAGGATAGGAACTTGAGCATTAGTGATTTTTTGTATCTGTGGAGGCCTCCAGAACCAATCCCACAAAGATGGCAAGGAACAACTATATTAGTTATTTAGAAAACTTAGCACACTTGATGATAGTAGACAAAGGAGGTCAGTAGGCCTCTTGGCTACTGACTTTCATTGTCTACCATCATCAGTTGTTCCTTGATATCTGTATGGGATTCTTTCTGGATGCCACCCAAGTCCTACTTTTCATCTGTGAAATGCCAAAGGGTTTGAATCATCAAATTTAATGCCCTGCAACATGTGAGCAGAAAGTCAAGCGTTGTTATTTAAGCAGTTCACCAACATTCCCAGTTCTGGATAACCACAATATACCCATCCCTCCAATGCTTGATGGACCAAACCTCTGATTCAGTACAAGGCAACTTCCTATGTATACCTGTTTTCAGAAGTCACTCAAATATTGGCTTTTAGACGTATTTTAAGCACTGGAACACTGTGTTACTGAAATAGATTATACTCTGCTGTAAACAATTAAACTGCAATCAAAGCACTTCATGGTCTTGTTGCCAGTCAGCATCATGAGTAATAGTACCTTCAGTTACAGTCATGTACATCTAACCCATGTATGCATTTTCAGAAAATGTATTCTTTCTAGAGCATTGAAAGGGTCGCTTTATGGCCTTTAAGATAGCTCGCCAGAATATATAGTGGCATATTGAGGAGTAGTGGACTTAAATCAAGAAAAGTAATTTAATTAGAATTTTATTGACTTGGCCCGGTAACTGTTTCTTAGCATAATCCACTTTACAGAGCTGCTGGGAGAAGAAAATTGAGGAAATTAAGTCTTGTGTGTGTCACCCATTGTTCCTAAGGCTTAGTATTCTTAGTATTACTTTGTGAAAAACTGCTATAACCCTCCCTTTGCCAGTTTTGATTTCATGCCAGTGCACAGAATATTCATCTGATAATCTGTCATGAGCACCACCACAAAATGACTTCTACAGGGGCTTGACTTCTCCTGATATGTTGCTTATCCCTGAATATAAGTATCAAAAATCCACACACACACAACCACAACAGGCAAAACAGACACATGGACCATAGAACAGGGGAGGCAGGTGGGTTTAAGCTTAATTGGGCACCAAGCATCAGGGTCACCAAGACCTCTATGTCGTTCTTCCTCTTGAGCTACCACTCAGATATGTACTAACTTATATATATCTTTGCATTTTGTATTTTGCCCCATTTTCCTTTATATAATATTTTTTTGTTTTAAAAATAGTATAATATAATATATTTGATTAATTTTGGCATTACCCACATAGTAGTCTGATTGTTAACTGCTTTACTTTAGTGGTATTCTTCACTGTACTTTGCCTGAAGGTACGCAAATTTAAATATGATCCACCTGCCGGTCGTGAGTGCCCCCCCCCCATAAGAGCCTTTCTGGAGACCCTGCCTGCACACATACCCCCAAAATACCTCACCATCAAATCAAAGGAACTCTCTTTCATTATGCCGTTACATTAGAAAAAAATCAAGGAAAGCCTCCCAAAGGACCAACACAGTAGACAAACTTGGAACTTTTATTGGACATTTAGAAATACCATTTAGGCATCCAATGAAATGAAAGAAAAGAGGTTTCTAAGGAAATATGAGTTCAAGATTTGCAGTGTCTCACTCTCTACAATGTTGGGAATTTGGGGGTTCAAGGAAAAATTTCACAAAAGGAAGACTACCATGGTTAGATCTAGATCAGTGGTTCTCAACCTTCCTAATGCCACGACCTCTTGATACAGTTCCTCATGTTGTGGTGACCCCCAACCCTAAAATTATTTTCATTGCTACTTCATAACTGTAATTTTGCTACTGTTATGAATCATAATGTAAATATCTGATATGCAGTATTTTCATTCACTGGACCAAATTTGGCACAAATACCCAATACGCCCAAATTTGAATAATGTTGAGGTTGGAGGCGGATTGGTTTTGTCATTTGGGAGTTATAGTTGCTGGTATTTATAGTTCACCTACAATCAAAGAGCATTCTGAACTCCATCAATGGTGGAATTGAACCAAATTTGGCACACAGAACTCCCATGTCCAACAGAAAATACTGGAAGGGTTTGGTGGGCATTGACCTTTAGTTTTGGAGTTGTAGTTCACCTCCCTCCAGAGAGCACTGGACTCAAACTATGATGGATCTGGACCAAACTTGGCACAAATACTCAATATGCACAGATGTGAACTCTGGTAGAGTTTAGAGAAAACAGACCTTGACATTTGGGAATTGTAGTTGCTGGGATTTTATAGATAACCTACATGCAAAGCGCACTCTAAACCCAGTCCACAATGGATCTGCACCAAATTTGGCACACTGTTTTTGAATTCCGAGAGTTGTAGTTCACCAACACCAAAAAGGAAGACAAGGGCAGGCAGAGAGATCTTCAGCTTTCTTTGCCAAAGGGATACCTAAGACCATTAGAATATGTGTTTTCTGATGGTCTTTGGCGACCCCTCTGAAAAACCTCCCAGGGGTCCCAACCAGCAGGTTGAGATACACTGATCTAGAGAATGGAAAATAGAATAAACTCCCTCTTCAGTTTTTTGACTGACATATGATTTTAGTCAAGAAAAACTCCAGCTCAGACTCTTTCCCTATCATAGAGTACTTATGAACCAGAAGAAATTAAACAGGTATCAGTTTCAAAACTTTTGGAATATTTCATTTTGGGATGCTTCAGACCACACCTATTAATCAATGCACATATGGCTACATAATCTGTAAGGGATGTGTCATTATTTCACACCAGTACTGTAGAGTTTATAGAACTAAACTTTGAAATCAATAGTTGCCAAGATATATCATTTTTTAGGATATATGATCTTGCTTGTATCTTTGCCTTCCACAAACTAGTATCCTCCAAATATGTTGGACCTATTACTCTGATCAAGCTGAGTCACAGCATATTCAATGGAACAATATATTTCCTTAGGTAAAGGTAAAGGTTTTTCCATGAAATTAAGTCCAGTCATGTCCAACTCTGGGAATTGATGCTCATCTCCATTTCTAAGCCAAAGAGCCAGAATTGTCTGTAGACACCTCCAAGGTGATGTGGCCAGCATGACTGCATGGCACGCCGTTACCTTCCTGCCAGAGTGGTACCTATTGATCTACTCACATTTGCATGTTTTTGAACTGCTAGGTTGGCAAAAGCTGGGGATAACAGCGGGAGCTCACCCCGCTCCCCGAATTTGAACCAGCGACCTTTTGGTCAGCAAGTTCAGCAGCTCAGCGGTTTAACCCACTGCGCCACCAGGGGCCCCTTGTCCTCATATAATCTGTCAGTAAGAAATAAAAACCCATTTGCAAATACACAAAACTCCAACAAATAAAATGGATATGTTAAGGAACAAAAGCAATTAAGGCTACAATTCTAAAGACATGTTTTAGAGCATAAGCCCCATTGAATCTTGGGACTAACTCATAGGACTGATCCAACAAAGTTCTTCTGGAATCCAGGTACTCATTGTTCAGTAAATAAAATACTTCTTTCAGAGAGTATCTATTGAATGGAAGGAATTGTACTTACTGAGATTTTAGTCCTAAATGCAAGTATTCTGCCAGAAGAAGATGTCTGGGTTGAGTGGCCACCTGAAGACAGAGGAGGAGGAGGCAGGAAGGCTCTTCCAACTGCTTTCAGAAGTCTGGAGCTGCTTGTCTGGAGAGGATAGCTAGCTACTGCTGCTTGTGATCCAGGGAACAGAGATTACACAGCAGAGAAAGATACCGAGAGCAGCAGAAACAGCATCCACGGTAATAAACTCTATCAAATGAAAATGGAGAGGAGAGGGGCTTTAAGTCACATAACCCCGCCTTCTATCCACATCATTTTCTCTGAGTCAATGTGCCACCCAGCTCTTTCCGTTCACTTATTCTATTGATGGCAACATGTATAGCCCAATCAATAGCATTCAGGGCAGTTGACCTGCTAAGAGGTGTACAAGTTTCTGTGTGTTTACCCAGAAGAAGGTCTCATTGTCCCACTGGGTTTAAATGGGTCTCAACTACGCAGGAAATGGTGCCCATAAAACCAGACTTTGAGTGCTTCTGAGTTTTACTGAATACAGGTGGATTTTGTCCTCATGGAAACTGTCAACTCTCATCAAAGGTTTTGTCCTCAAATAAATGAACAAATCAGCTAAAGGTTGCTTTACCCAGAACAGAGTTTTTAAAAGGTTTATACACTTTCTGCCAAAAGGTATTTAAAATAACTGAACATTTATAAAGAAATTGCCAAAAAAATACTAATTTTACCCAAAACAATGTACATACAAGCCACAACAGACAGGAAACAAAGAAGTATATCTTTTATGGTATCCCTTTCGGTAAAGAACTGCAGGCAACAGTGCACAATGTATAATCAGATATAATAAAACCATAAATACAAAGTTGTAGACATCCTGAAGCAAAAGCTCCCTAAATGTTTCAATAAAGCAATATTAAAATAATGTGTACAATATCTTACAAAGCATAGGCTTTTCAAAAACTACATTTGGCATTGCTGTGTGGTTGGGACGACCTCCTGCCTTTTCAA